CCAGCATGGTCATTTTCTTTAGAAAGATTGGAGGCTTTAGTTGTGATTTTAATTCAAATAAATCAACTTACAATTATATATTAATACATAAATGAGTTTTGATAATGACATAGAAAATGAGATTTAAGAATTCAACTACCCCAGCTATACAGAACTTTCTTGGGAAATTTATTGTGAAACTTATAAATAACATGGAGCATAATAGATGTTTTAAACTGTGTTATTCAATTTGAAAAAATGGAGGGAAACAAGCAGCCAATTGTAACAGATAAATGGTAAGTTATAATTGAATTACAGTTCTTAATATTTTTAATTTTTCATAAAATTATGAATTCTGTAAGCTCAGTATTCTGAAAAGATTTTAAATAAATTTCCAGGAAACCTGTTTTAAAATATGGAGGGAAAATGAAATCATTCTTAATTTTTCTAAATAAATATACATTTTGATCATTCCATTTTAGAAAAAAAAACTGAAGTCTTGAAATGTAATAAAAATTATGACATGATTGCATTTTTTTTTCCTACTCCCAAAATTTAGGTTGAAGCCAAAATATTTCAGTAACATGTGAGAAGAAGAAAATGGTGTAGTTGGAACAAAAGAATACAATAGAAGAAATATTACTGGTAATTTTTAATTTTTTCATTTGCTATCAAAATCAGTTTCAGTTTTAATTATTAAAAGTATTCATTCCTGTAAATTTTATGGAATTAATGACTTCATGAAGTCAGTACATATATGTTTATAATGCTGTAGCTTCTTTAAAATGATTTCATCAATAATTTGTTATTGCAATTGATGAAATATTATACCTTTAAAACTACACTGTATGGACATATTTCTCTATATTAAGGTGTAACATTTTCTTTTAGATTAATATATAAATTGAAAGTTGTCTATAGCATATTCCTACACTGCTTTCTTATGTTTACAGATTGTGTAGTCCAGATACTATAGTGTGGAATTATGTAATACAGTGTGCAGCTACCTAGTGGAAATATCAAACACAAATGACTTTTGAAATGTATTTAATTGTATGAAAATCAAATACAGATAAGTGAAAAAAAAATCTCAATTATTATTTTGTCAAATATCAAAAAGAACAGGAATCTGGGTTGGATTTTTATTTTAATTTCAGGGTGGGATTTGCCAAATTTTTGGTGCGGGATAATAACAGGAGGAAAAAAGTCTGGTCTGACTTTTTAAACAGAAATCAGGGTGAATTATGGCTCATTTAAATATTTCAAATTAATCCCACCCTGAAATTGCTCTTAATTTAACTAGAAGTAAATCTATTTTTAGAAATCTGTGTGAGTGAAAATTCTGCCCTGGATTTCCATTTCAGGGTGGTATTTTTTCTGGCTCATTTAAATATTTCGTTGAATCAACCCTGAAAACACTATATATTGTATACTAAAAAATCTAAAAATAGATTTCTGTCTTCTCTATAGTCAACTGAATAGCTTAAAAAACCTGGCTGGGAATAAATTTCTGATCCCATGTCAAATCAGGGTGTAGTCAGGGTAGGCATTTTCGTACAGGACTGTACGCACAAATGTTGGTATGTTTTTCTTTAGCAACTTCCTCATTACAGTACTTTCTTATTCAATTTTGATGAAATATCATGTTTTGAGTTTGTATGTTGATCATATGTTAACCACAGTGTCAATTAAAACAACAGTGTCAATTAATGTATTATACTATGATATAGTTAATTTAAATATTCTTTTCTCACAAAGGTTAATCATTAAAATGAGATAAGAATTTGAAATTCTATCAAATAATAAATAGACACAATAATATTCGTTTTGTTTCTTACATTTATTTTTTTTGCAATGGAACTTGAAATTTATAAAAAAAAAACTGGTTTGATTTCCTTTATGGATTGGATGTTATATATTATATACAGAGCACATCATTGTATTTCAGTAATTCTGATGTTTGTCATTAGCTCTGTCGCTTTGAATATATAATTTTGCTACTCCATAACCAGTGTATATCAAACAGCTTTGTGTATTTGCTTATTAAAGCATTGATACTTTTAATGATTTAACATATCTGCCAGTAGTTTTACTTTTAAAACTTAAAGGCTTTCTCTGCAACATTTAATGTATAGCATTACCCCTCACTTTTTTGTAAATATTCATTTCCACTAGGAGTTACTCTTATTGTTAAAGCAAGTGTACCAAGAGATTTGGACTGTTACAGGGCAACAGTACTTTTTTAACAGCATCAAGTCTGGTCAAGTGTTTTTTTTTTACCTAAAAAAAAGTATTATAGATTTAAGAATTTGTTCAGGTAATAAAATAGATAACACACATGGGTTTGTGAGTAACATTAAAAATATCATTCCTTGTAAAAATACTGTTACCCTCGGCTAACACCTTGGGTAACAGTATTTTTCTTGGGATGATATTTTATAACCCACAAACCCATGTGTTATTTATATACTACTCCATAAGCAGTGTGACTCAATCTAATATTATATACTCAATAGCTTTTTGTTTATTTGCACGTGTCAGCATTTGTACTTGTGGTACTTTACCTATTTGGCAGTAGTTTTGTTTGTTAATCAATTTGTAATGTTTTAATTGCTCTGCAACATTTAGAACTGTGTATTTGCACATGTGAGCATCAGCTGTTCCTAAGAAAGACACTGAGCTGTTTGATGTCCAATGACTGACTGAATTTTGAAATTGTAGTTTTGTGTTTTTTCCTGACAGGCCACAATTATGTGCACTACAAAAATAGCCTGTTCTTAGTGTTCTAAGCAACATTTTAGAAAAGAATTTTACCAGCTAAAGATTTTTACCACCTGGTTCTCAGTCTCTATCTCTAGAACAGCAGTGAAATGTACTTTCACTGTATTTTATAGGTTGTTTGAAATGTTCAATTCTATTTATAATATAAAAGAAATAGCAGTTTGACAGCAGCATGTACAAAAGATCTTAGAACCTCATGAAGTAAAACAGTCCTAAATATATCACATATTAACAGCTATTTTTCTGAAATGTTCTACTTTAATAGTGAGTTAATTTATACGAGATTTCTTAATTTGTTTCTTAAATTCATTCTTACATATTTTGGTCAAATTCCTACTTTTTATCTAAGATCTTAGAGTAAAGGTTACTTTTTTCCAACTCCTAATTATCACAGGATAATTATTGTTAATTATTCAAATTAAGTTCAAACACTTATATGGATGGTAACATACAAAACTTTTATTTCAAGTAAATCTTTAAAGCAGAAGATTTTAGAATTCTGGAAACGGGCACATATATGGTAGATATTTTAGTATAATCATAGGAAAACATGTACAGCAGATGTGATAATGAAAAATATCGAACCTGTAACAGCGTACAGTTATTTTATCGCACCAAAATCCAGCGTACACTTACATATTTTGACCTGCGTCAATGTATATCGGAGCACAAAGGTACTTGCTATGCAACTCAATTATGATTACTCTTATAGAATAAAGAAGAAAAAGAAATTAACTATATTAATATAAACTTGCATTAAGCGATTTTATTCAACGACCCAAAATTAGTTGCCGTCAGTTTACCTTCTGAATTTAGGCCTCTGTAATTTTGATTAAATGTGTGTCGGTCCTATCTTCTTATCCTCAAAACAAAATATGCAATTGTAATCAAAGATTTATGAAATACTTAATAAAAACACTCACTCTGACGTGGGTTTTTACGGGTAAATCCGCCATTGGGGCGTATCGCATGAAATCACCTCGCTTAAAGGAGTATCGCACCGCTATACGTTCGACCCCCTGATACAGATCAAGTAAAATTGGTCTTTCCTTAAAAAAAACTGCCATTTTTTTTAATGACACTATATATTTATATTGTAACCACCTATAGTGTTTATAATTTTAAACATAACATATATACTTTATGTGAAATAAAACATGTTTATTTTATATTTACAAAGAGACTGTGTAGCAATTATAAATATTCTCAAATATGTATTTTGAGCATAGTATATCTTTAAAACCCAAATTGGTTAGAGAGGGTAGGTTAAAAAATGCAGAAATAACTCTAAGAAAATAGAAAAAACCCAATAGTTCACAAAACAAGGGGTAATCACCCAATATACACAAAATGTTATCTGTAGCCCTGCAGTTATGAAGTACCACCAATTATTGAATGGCTTGAGCTATGCCAGCAGGGTCTCGAACTTGGGCACTGCCATGGAAGCTGGATTGTTCTTGCCTAGATCATAAGATGGTTGAAAAGTAACAGCTAGTGTACAATTGTTTTCTGCTACTTCATTTCTTTTAAACTTTTTTTTTTTAGAAAAAAACTGTGTCCGTGTCATTACTCTGTCTATCCAATTTTATTTTGTCTTTTTCTTGTGCACTGTTAAAGAAATGTCAAGTTGGACAGTTTAACAAATTGATGTAAATGTAGATTTTGTATTTATAGTAGCTCACCTGAGCACACAGTTAACAGAGGTGAGCATTTGTGAGAGGACATTGTATGTCATGCATTGTTTGTTGTATGTTTCTTCCTGGACAAATGGTTTATTTTAAATGAACCTTGGGTAGTCTCTTAAAAAAATACCTAAACCTGCAGGTTGCTCAGGTTATAATTAAAGACACATTTGAAATCTTCTTGTGTAAAGTCATAATGCCTAAAGTTAAGATATTTACCATGTAGCTTTGCTGCTGGACCTTTCAAAAGTTATATAAGTTTTATATTTGTCCCTAAGGTCATAAGTAGGATGTCCTGAGGTTCATTAATAGTAAATATATCCTCTGAAACTGCAATGTCCAGAGCTAAGAAATTTGGAAAAATGGAAAAAAACACAATCACATTGTTGTCCTCAACCAAAAATATGAATCATGGTCCTGTTGATCAATCTTCAACCCCTCCCCACCCCCCAACCCCCGCCACTAACACTGAAAATGTTTTATTTTGTATGTAGTATAACCTTTAATCAAAAGTTATATAAATCATGTGACTTCAAGACTCTCTTTACTTTGTTTTAGGTGTCAATGAATAATGAAACATTAAGAGACAGCTATATTCCAAAAGAGCAGTATGAAACTGAGCTCAGCTCCTTACAGGTAAATATTTATAATTTATATACAATAGTTATATATACAGACACTGTAATGTATTTAATTGCAAGATTATTTATCTCAGTTCAGTTGTTTGTTTTCAGAAAGTTTTTTGTTTATTTGGGCCTGTCTGCCTCCTTGAACTAACCATTACAGGTGTCATATGAGGGAACCTACCAGCTGCCATCCATCTCAAAGTTACTAATAATCTACAATCCCTGGATTGAAAGGCTGTCACCATTACCACTTAGCAAAAGCTCACTCATTAATAAAAGAGTAAACTTTGACTATTATATCTTTTGTGTAATCTACTTACTGTACATATATTATTTCAAAAATTTATCGCTCTTTTTATTCACCACCTCAAAACCCCATTAAAATGCTTAAGGGTTAATAAGAAACAAAACAGTAAGGGTAGGATTTACAATATAAATAGTTCATTCTAGAACTTAAAATCTGCAAACATGTACAGTCAAACCTGTAAACAATGGCTACCCTAAGAATGGACTGAGCATGACAGGTTTATAGACAAGTGGTCATTATTTAGAAGTCATTCTGTTCTATTTAATCAATGGAGGATTGTAGCAAAATGACCTTTATTTACAGGGTGTACTTTATCTGTATGTGGTCTTTATCACAGGTTTCACTGTAAATTGTTAAAATATACAGAATTGTAGAAATTTGATGATTGGAATAGTAAATGGTTCTTCCTATGTTTAAACATTTGTAAGTTTTTTCTTAAGACTGCTGTGTGTATTTATTACACCCACCTGGAGGCAGGCTGCTTTAATAAAATGCTCATTTTGATATTATCTAAAGCTGTAAGTAGATTTTAATGAATTTTGATTCTTATTGTTTTGAATTTTTACACTTACCAAGCTGTTTTTAGCTCGACTTTTCTATGAAAAGGGGAGCTATCCTACTCGCCCCGGCGTCGGCGTTAGCGTCGGCGTTGGCGTCACACCTTGGTTAAGTTTTTCGTACCACCCCACTTTATTTCAGAAGTATTACAAGTATGGCTTTGAAACTTACCATACTTGTTCACCATCATAACCTCCATCTACAGACAGGAGTACATAACTCTGTCAAGGTTTTTGACAGAATTATGGCCCTTTTTTGACTTAGAAAGTGTATTGAGCTTGGTTAAGTTTTTTGTACCACCTCACTTTATTTCAAAACCATTGGAGGTATTGCTTTGAAACTGACCATACTTGTTTACCATCACGACCTTCATCAACAGACAAGAGGACATAACTCTGTCAAGGTTTTTGACAGAATTATGCCCCTTTTTATACCCCCAAAAACGAAGTTTGGGGGGGTATATAGGAGTCACTCGGTGGTCGGTCGGTCGGTCGGTCGGTCGGTCGGGCGGTCGGTCGGTCGGTCGGTCCAGACGTCCGTTGCATTTTCCTTGTCCGGAGCATAACTTGAAAACTAATGGTTGGAATTCAATATAACTACATACAATGGTCAAGCACATTGAGAGGAAGTGCAGTGCACAAGAACCATAACTCTATCATGACTAATTACAGAGTTATTGCCCTTTGTTACTTTTCCTTGTCCGGGGCATAACTTGAAAACTACTGGTTGGAATTCAATATAACTACATACAATGGTCAAGCACATTGAGAGGAAGTGCAGTGCGTAAGAAACATAACTCTATCTTGACTAATTACAGAGTTATTGCCCTTTGTTACTTTTCCTTGTCCGTGGCATAACTTGAAAACTACTGGTTGGAATTCAAAACAACTTCATACAATTGTCAAACACAATAAGGGGAAGTGCAGTGCACAAGAACCATAACTCTATCTAAAGTAATTACAGAGTTATTGCCCTTTGTTGCTTTTCCATTGCCTTCTTTTTTTTGTCCGGACCATAACTTGAAGACTAATGGTTGGAATTCAATATAACTACATACAATGGTCAAGCACATTGAGAGGAAGTGCAGTGCATAAGAACCATAACTCTATCTAAAGTAATTACAGAGTTATTGCCCTTTATTACTTTTCCATTGCTTTCTTTTGTCCGGACCATAACTTGAAGACTAATTGTTGGAATTCATTATAACTTCATACAATGGTCCAGCACATTGAGAGGAAGTGCAGTGCACAAGAACCATAACTCCATTTTGACTTATTACAGAGTTACTGCCCTTTGTTTCTTTTCCTTGTCCAGAGCATGACTTTAAAACTACTGGTTGGAATTCAAAACAACTTCATACAATGGTCAAGCACAATAAGGGGAAGTGCAGTGCACAAGAACCATAACTCCATCTTGACTAATTACAGAGTTATTGCCCTTTGTTACTTTTCCATTGCTTTCTTTTGTCCGGACCATAACTGGAAAACTTATTGTTGGAATTCATTATAACTTCATACAATGGTCAAGTAGATTGAGAGGAAGTGCAGTGCATAAGAACCATAACTCCATCTTGACTAATTACAGAGTTACTGCCCTTTGTTACTTTTCCTTGTCCAGAGCATGACTTGAAAACTACTGGTTGGAATTCAAAACAACTTCATTCAATGGTCAAGCACAATAAGGGGAAGTGCAGTGCACAAGAACCATAACTTCATCTTGACTAATTACAGAGTTATTGCCCTTTGTTACTTTTCCTTGTCCAGAGCATAACTTGAAAACTACTGTTTGGAATTCAGTACAACTTCATACAGTTGTCAAGGACATTCAAAGGAAGTGCAGTGCACAAGAGCCATAACACCATTTTGACAAAATACAGAGTTACTGCCCTTTGATACTTTTCCTTGTCCGGAGCATAACTTAAAACGTACTGGTTGGAATCCAAAACAACTTCATACAATGGTCAAGCATAATAAGAGGAAGTGCAGTGCACAAGAACTATAACTCTATCTTCAGTATTTATAGAGTTATTGCCCTTTGTTCTTTTTCTTTGTCTTTCTGGACTTATTACAGAGTAATTCAATTAAACTTCATCAATGGCCAACCACATTGAAAGGAAATGCAACATACAAGAACCACAATTATCTTTATTTGCCCACAACCATAACTCTATGTTTCAAGTCTTTTACAAGGCAGGGCTTTTTTTCACAGTTTGGGGAAGCAGCCCAGCCCTTAATTTTGGGGAAAAATTACACGGTATATTTGCGAAAGGGGAAGAAAAAACTTGATGTAAATTCAATTTTTGGGGAAAACTGCATGATTTTAAAGAAATTTTCTTTGGGGAAGCAGCCCTATACCGGCCCCTGTTATAGAAGGTAAAAAGGCCCTGCAAGGTATTCTGTTACTAGTAACATCCTCATTTCCGAAGCAGACTTGTGGGGGTATTAATCACATTTAGTGATAGTTCTAGTTGACTTAGAAAATACATTGAATATGGGTAAAATCCACTTATTGCCTTAACCCTTTGAGATATTGCTTTGAAACTTTTAATGCTATTTCACATCATTACCCCCATCTGTACGCAAGAGAAGGTAACTCTGTCAGGGATTTGTTTTAAAAATTAAGGCCTTTTATCGACTTAGAATCTTGGTTAACTTTTTTGTACCAGTCAACTTTTTGACTGAACTGGTTGAGATATTAAATTGAAAGTTGGAATACTTGTTTACCATCATGGTCCCAAAACATGGGCAGGAGAAGGTAATTCTGTTAAGGATTTTATTTGAATTATGGCCCTTTTTGACTTAGAAACTCAGTTAAAATTTTCATTCTTGTCCACTTGTTGACTTAACCATTTGAGATATTACTTTGGAAGTTGGAGTTCTTATGTGCCATCATGAGACCTATCTGTAAGCAAGAGAAGATAACTCTGTGAAAATGTTTCTTGATTTGTACTTAGAAATTCCTAGTTAAAGTCTTGTGTGCCCTTAACTGTCAAAGTTTTGTTTTATAGGCAAGCACTAAAAAAGTCGAGCGCGCTGTCCTTCTGACAGCTCTTGTTATAGTGACATTCTGCCATCTAAGTGTAAATGGTCAGTGAACAGGTAGAAATAAAAATAACTTGACATTTTGCCATAATTGTGTAATTTGTGTTCAATTTTATGTTTCACAATGAAAAAAACAACACAACAAATTGTCGTGTAAATGTCTGTAAATAATTACAGTGAAAAATGAGCAGAATGTTACTTTAATAGTTGACTTTAAATACATGTTTACCTGTACAGACTCCTACAATGGTATTTATACATTTGTTTTGTTCTAGGAGAGTTTAAGAAGTGATTATGTACCAAGAGAGCATTATGAAATGGCAGTGAAACAGCTTGAGGTAAATAGTTCTTAATTATACAAACTTTATTATTATCAACTTTCCTCATGATCATTAGTATAAAGTACATATGTACTTTGATTAATTTAAATCATAGAAACAAAGTCTTATAGAATATTTTTTCTCCCTCTATTTTACAAAAACATCTTATTAATTTTTATGAAGATTTGAAATTAAATATAGAACAGCTAGAAAAAAAAGTGTAATACATGTATGAACTGCGGAACAAGTCAAGTTGAAAGATGTTTTTCTTTACCATTATATTCAGTTAAATCAAATTAATGTCAATTTGCATGCTAGTTGCAAAACCAGTTTTTAACCAGGTTTTCAATTTTGAAAATCCTGGTTATTAGATTGGGGTATGGCGGGCGGATGGGCGGGTGGGCGGATGGGCGGGCGGGCGTCAAACGAAATTGTGTCCGCTCTGTAACTCTTCAACCCTTTGAAGAATTTTGATGAAACTTCAGACAAATGTTTACCACATCAAGATGACGTGCAGAACGCATGTTCCGCATGGCTGGCTCCAAGGTCAAGGTCACAGTGACATTAACATTGAAAATCCTGTCCGCTCTGTAACTCTTCAACCCTTTGAAGAATTTTGATGAAACTTCAGACAAATGTTTACCACATCAAGATGACGTGCAGAACGCATGTTCCGCATGGCTGGCTCCAAGGTCAAGGTCACAGTGACATTAACATTGAAAATCCTGTTTACATGATTTTAACTTGATTTGGCAGTCAAAGGTCATATCATCTTTGGAGGTAATTTAAAAAAGATATGATATATTATTTCATGTCTACTTTGTAACTTGAAAATTTTAAAAAATTTGAACTTTTTGAAGAATTTTAGAGCAAGCGTATATTTCTATATGATGTTTCAGCAGTTGATGTCTCAATGATTGTACTAAAACATCTATAGAACCCTCTCAAACTTGCTTTCATTTAACTCAAATTGTTGTCTCATTATTAAGTATACTCCTTGCAGACAGTATTGTTAGCCGAAATTTACATCCTACTCATTATCATGTATTCTCATGAATATTATCTTTTCCTTCATGTCATGTTATAATCTTTTGAATATTCATAGCAATCTTCATTCCAAAATTCATACTATAGTATAGAATCAGAACAACATTTTTGAAAACCTGGTTTCGTGGCATTGCCATGTTTCTTGTTAAGGGATTAAAAAAAAAACACACACATTTCCAAAAACTCCAAATATTTAGAAGAATTGATTTTTTTATTTAGGAGAAAAATCTCTTACTGTAATGTAAGATAACAATTAGAGAGGAATGATTCTCAGCTAGATTTCTTGATCTATCAGTTACTTTCTAAATTTCTATGAATTTAGACCTAATTGTGATCATAATTTGAATGAATCTGTAAATGTTTCCATTGATTTTAACTTGTTTTTGCAAGAATGCATGCCTTTTAAATTTTAAATTTGTAGCCACAAGTTGATTGAGAGAATTTGATAAATGTATGAAAACATTAACAGAAGTTTACACATAATGGTTTTTTCTCAAAAAGCCATGTATGCCTTAAAGTCTCATGCTTTGGGAAATCTTCACAGTTTTGGGAATTTTCAAGATTAAAGTTTGGGAATTTCCAACAGTAATGTCAATTGGAAAAAGGTCAAATAAAGGCAACATATACATTATATTGGTATTAATTTAGAATTTGATTTCTGTATTTGTGTTACTAGGAGGAGAAGATGGAGCATGCACAGACAAAGTTGAAATTAAATGAAGTAGTTGACAAGCTTGAGGAGGCCATGGCTGAAATAAACAATTTGAGGGAGCAAGTCCAGCAACAGAAAGTTACACATGAGAAAACGTATAAACTTTATGTATATTTACTTATTGTTAGTAGCCTAACTTCCTATAGCCATAATTGGCCAGAACCTTCACTTTTTGTTCTAAGAAATTGATTTTTTTTAGAATTAATGCATTTCTCCACAAGCAAATTTTTAATAAACTCCTAAATATATATCAATTGTACTAAGTATAATGCCAAAATGCACCTCTCACAATCAATGCTTAAAATATTTTCTTTTGGCTGTATAGTCACCCCTAAAACCCTTTTTGTAGTACTGCCTTGAAGCTGAGCTTCAATGTGAGCTATTGTGATACCCCTGTTCCTGGTTTAGACAACAAAATGTTACAAAAATGAAATGCCCAAAACTGTAACATTTTACTCCATTACCAACAGGTTGGTAATGGTGTTAAAAAAAGTAAATTCCATTATGTTATGCATGCATTACAATATGTAAGGAATTATAATAGTAATGAATGTTTTTATTTATTAAACTTTATATTTCATTCCTGTGAAATCTAAATATAAGTGTCTCCTAATTCTAGAGGTATACAACTCTGAATTCATGAAAATATTCCAATGCAAGGTAAATTCAAACCTGCAAACCATCACCACCCTAAAAAGAGACTAAACATGGTTTTTATCGACAAGTAGACTTGATTTAAAAGTTGCTCTGTTCTATTTCATCAATGGAAAGTTGTCACAAAGTGGCCTTTATTTACAGGGTGGTCTTTATTTGGAGGTGGTCTGTAACACAGGGTTGACAGTGTATTATGTTCATTTGAATAACTTTTATAACATTCTTATGCTTTTGCATCAAATAGTTTTTGTTATATGTAATATACATTTTACAAATTTTCTTTTACAGGAAAGGTGCCCTTAAAAGCAAACATATGCAAGAAACAGCAAAATCCATGAAATTACAGTCAAAGTGCTCAGGTCAGTAGTATTTTATGCCTACTTAAAATGTTTAGGACACAGATGTAATTCGCAAAGCCAAAATTAGTGCTAGGATTTAGTTTTAGGGCTGTAAATCATTTTGAATTTGTTTGGTGAGACTTTTTGAACACAGTTTTTTAAAGCCAGTGTCCAGTAATAATAATATATGTGCTGTATAAGCTAATAACCATAAATCAAAATGGTGGTTCATTTTAAGCTTGGCTATTCAAAGAATAGGAACAGCTATTATACTTACCCGGGCGTTGTGTCACATTTTTTATGTCTTTGCAGGCAAGTTGGTATTTCCAAAATTACTGAAGGAAATAGGTTAAACTTTACACACTTATTTGAAAGCATGATAAGAGGTCACTGTCCAAGGCCCATAATTCTAACATAATTTTGACACAATAAGGCCCTTTTACAACTTAGAAAATTCTACATTATTCAGCCTTTCATTTACCATCAAGCTGAAGCACTGAGAATAGTCTTACCAATAGCTCTTGTTGTTCAGTTTTTTTTAGTTGCTTAGATAAATGGAGCAATTATTAAGACTGATAAAAGAAAGAGAACATTTTTTTCAGACATCTACTCAAAAATAATTTGATTTTTTTATTTATGAAAACATGTTACACGTGTTTACCATCAGAGGAAATATACTTGAGCAATATGTTTTTGATCTGCCTCGTGTTACAAAGTTATTGCACCTGTTACAGACATTCCTTAAAATGGAATAGCTGGATTTATTAATACAGCCTTAAATATGTGCTTCTTTTTTAGCTCACCTGTCACAAAGTGACAGGGTGAGCTTTTGTGATCGCTTTTCGTCCGGCGTCCGTCCGGCGTCCGTAAACTTTTACTTTAAATGACATCTCCTCATAAACCACTAGGCCAATTTCATCCAAACTTCACAGGAATGTTCCTTTGGTGGTCACCTTTAAAAATTGTTCAAAGAATTTAATTCCATGCAGAACTCTGGTTGCCATGGCAACCAAAAGAAAAAACTTTAAATATCTTCTTTTAAAAAACCCTAAGAGCTAGAGCTAAGATATTTGGCATGAAACATCTTCTAGTGAGTGTCTACCAAGTTTGTTCAAATAAAAGCCCTGGGGTCAAAATTGGCCCCGCCCCAGGGGGTCATTGATTTTCCCTATATGCATATAGTAAAAACTTAAAAAATCTTCTTTTAAAGAACCCAAAGAGCTAGAGCTAAGATATTTAGCATTAAACATGTTCTAATAAGTGTCTACCAAGTTTGTTCAAATAAAAGCCCTGGGGTCAAAATTGGCCCCGCCCCAGGGGGTCATTGATTTTCCCTATATGCATAAAGTAAAAACTTAAAAATCTTCTTTAAAAGAACCCAAATAGCTAGAGTTTAGATATTAAGCATGAAACATCTTCTAGTGTGTGTCTACAAAGTTTGTTCAAATAAAAGCCCTGGGGTCAAAATTGGCCCCGCCCCGGGGGTCATTGATTTTCCTTATATGTGTATAGCAAAAACTTAAACTCTTCTTTGAAAAAACCCAAATAGCTAGAGTTTTGATATTAAGCATGAAACATCTTCTAGTAAGTGTCTAAAAAGTTGGTTCAAATAAAAGCACTGGTGTCAAAACTGGCCCCGCCCCAGGGGTGTCATTGTTTTTAACTATATGTGTATAGCAAAAACTTAAAAAAATCTTCTTTTAAAAAGCCCAATGAGCTAGAGCTTAGATGTTTAGCATGAAACATCTTCTTATTGGTGTCTACCAAGTTTGTTCAAATAAAAGCCCTGGGGTCAAAATTGGCCCCGCCCCAGGGGGTCATTGATTTTCCCTATATGCATATAGTAAAAAACTTAAAAAATCTTCTTTTAAAAAAACTCAAAGAGCTAGAGCTAAGATATTTAGCATCAATCATGTTCTAATAGGTGTCTACCAAGTTTGTTCAAATAAAAGCCCTGGGGTCAAAATTGGCCCCGCCCCGGGGGTCATTGATTTTCCTTATATGTGTATAGCAAAAACTTAAAAAAATCTTCTTTGAAAGAACTCAAAGAGCTAGAGTTTAGATATTAAGCATGAAACATCTTCTAGTGAGTGTCTACAAAGTTTGTTGAAATAAAAGCCCTGGGGTCAAAATTGGCCCGTCCCGGGGGTCATTGATTTTTCCTTATATGTGTATAGCAAAAACTTAAAAATCTTCTTTTGAAAAAACCCAAATAGCTAGAGTTTAGATCTTAAGCATGAAACATCTTCTAGTAAGTGTCTACAAAGTTTGTTCAAATAAAAGCCCTGGGGTCAAAACTGGCCCCGCCCCAGGGGTGTCATTGTTTTTAACTATATGTGTATAGTAAAAACTTAAAAAAATCTTCTTTTAAAAAGCCCAATGAGCTAGAGCTAAGATGTTTAGCATGAAACATCTTCTTATGGGTGTGGGGTTGGCTATATACAGGTGAGCGACCTCAGGGCCATCATGGCCCTCTTGTTTTTTGTTCAGTTTAGCTACTGACTTAATTGACTGCATGTTAATTTTGATTTTATATTTATCTTAAAGCTGCATGCCTCCAGATGAGCAAAAATATTTTGAGAAAATTAAACAGGAGAAAGATGTACGAAGATTTTATGACTAGTAAATTGATTTAAGATTCAAGCAATAATATACATGTCATGTGCCATTAAGGATTGATTTTGCAAAATTTATCATCATATTTCTACTGGGTAGTTAATGAGCGTATTTTGATATTATTTTTTTTGAAGTTTACTTGGATTACAATTGCTTTTTGCAATTTTTGAATTATTTTCTTTGTTCACTACACGATATTTTACTTTCAAATATATTTTAGAAATTTCATGAAATTCAGAATGAATCTGGAGGCATGCTGCTTTAATCATAGACTAGTGATCTTGAAAATTTAGTTGTATTTAACAGGATTGTAATTTAGATTAATATTTTTCTCAACTTGAAATACAAAAGAGAGTGAATCTAACAGAATGTTATGTATTATTACAGAATTTTCTCGAACTTGCGAGATGCAGGAGGAAATATTAAATTCCAAAAATTCTGAAATTAAAGATTTAGAACGGAAATTACAAGAGCAGCAAAGTTTATACAAGAAAGAAATTACTGAAGCAGAAATAGAGAAGAAACAACAGAGATACATTGCTAAAATGATGGAAGAACAAGAAAGAAAAAATTCTCGAACTTCTCACCAGGCTGTACCAAAAACAAAATCATTCAAAAGATGATGTATGAATGTGAAGTGATAATTAACTAATAACAAATACACAAAACGTGACAGAAATAGTTATAATGAAAATAGCTTTATAAGCCACATATTAAAATTGTGATAAAAAAAAACTTTGTCTGTGATATGAAATATAGAAGTGAACAGTGTTGTACTTATTATATGTCATGGCAACTTGTGCGACTGTAATTACCAGAGGTGTTAAATTGTGTTGATTTTTACGTCACATGTGTGCTTTAGAGTTCAAATGTGCTCTTAGGCTACAGCACATGATTAGATGACAAAGATGACTTGACAGTGCTTTATTGAATATCATTCCAGGCGGCACAGACTTGCACTTGTGTGAAACCATGAACCATAATTTCAGGCACTAAATTGAACTTTGGTAAAATCATGGAGCTAGCGAAACCATTAAAATGTTCAAATGGATGAATTATTAATGCTAACATGTTACGAATTTAATATGCCGCTGTTGATGTCATAAAGCAATTCTACAGTGTTTTGTTGTTGATTTTTGCAAAAAGAATTATGAATTTCTAGGGATAATTTTTTCTCTCTAAAAGTAAATGCCCCTATTTGGCATTTTCCCACAACCTATAAGAAATAATGTTGAAAACCTTGTTGAAAACTATGTTTAACAAACAGAGCATAAATTAATCAGATTAATGTTAACACATTTTTCTAGATCGGTTACAAATATTTCTATTCAAAAGTCAGCATTTTCAAAGACTTTTATTACGCATAATGTGTAAAGTACCAATATAGGTGGCGCGATAGCTCAGTTGGTTAAACCACTGATTATCACTCCTGAGGTCCCGGGTTCGATCCTGGGTTACACCCTTGGGATTTTTCAGAGACACTTTCAGTGTTTCCCACCTACCTAGAGGTGTACTGGTAAGAAATCCAGGTAATCCTCGCATGTATCAGTGCTATACACTGGGCATGTAAAAGAACCAAGGGGTCTATTCAATAAGAGCTAGGGACTGGTTCCCGGATTCCCTTGTATCTTAAAGCTGTTTCTTAAATGTATACAATGTATACCTGCTTATAGTAATCGAAAAACGATTTTAAAGCAGTATGATGTAGAAAAAGTAAAGCTCCATGGTATGCTCATACTTTATTATTATATTAAAGCTGACAATAAATCTATAAACCTTTCTAAAAATTATCTCAAGTACTATCAGAGACTTTTATTACAGAAAGCTCTGAGGTACTATATACACTTTTTTGGTGTGCTACATTATATTTTGATACTCTTACGATTGCCATTGATAATAAGTAGATGAAGTATATACATAGAGGATATTTGTTTGTTTTGCATGTAAGATTGAAATATAATTTAACTGAGTGAACACCAGATGCAAATATTTTCACGAGTGGCGTAGCCACGACTGAAAATATAATAGCTGGTGTTCACGAATGAAATATATTTCAATCTTATATGTAAAACAAATAAATTTTCTTTTTATTTCATGCTTTTTAAGTGATTTTAAGTATTTTTTACTGATTTTGCCGCGTAACGTCGCGAATTCTCCTTTGTGACGTCATCACATCATGACGTCACATCATTTATTTTGAAATATAGTTCTGTTAAATTTCTCTAATTTTGTTACATTTTAACATGATGTATGGTGACATCGACTTTCTTTTCCTAAAGAAGCAAAATTTACGCATGACAGCATTTATTTCTGCCTGTTATTCCATTTAGTTATGATTTTCTTTTCATCCGCATTCAGATATAGTCCGGCTACAGTGAAAATTATATTTTATAAATTTCACTAGTGGTTTATCAGAATATAATCATCTGATATATTACAATAAAACACTGGAAAGCATGAAATAAATGTTCTTTGCCTCTAAAATTACTTTGTCGTATTTTCGTATTTCACCTTACCAATCCCACGTCATGCCGGATTACTGGTGTTTCGGCATTCGTATGTGTAGAAGTGTGCGCATGCAGAAACAAAAAACCTTTAAAGATACGGCAATGTCGCACTTTTGCTCCGTGTGGTGCCAGAGAAAACACGAAAATAGGACAAAAGGCAAACCCAAATGTTTGAAATTTCGCCTGAAATCTGTCGTATTGTCGTGTGTTCGACTGGCGCCGCACAGAGGAAGTACGACAAAGTGGACATCTTGTGTTTTTGTCTGGCGAACGCGATGCGAATATACGGCATGACCATAGTTACCATTTTACCGCTACGCCAGCCCTGTCACCAATAATATTTATTAAGTTGAATACTAGACAGAACAAAACGAAACAGAAAAAAAACAGGATACGATCAAATATAGTTTATTAGCCCAAGTTAGGCATGCCCAACGTACATCTATGACTACAACAAACTGTAAACAGATAGAAATATATCATGATATTCGACAGATTTAGCATTATATATGAAACTTGTACAGAGCCATTAAACTATGAAAAGTATATTAAAGTACGTGGTTTCTTTCCAAGTGTTGTTATACCATTCAAATGAGCGGACAGAATCTGATTTCTGTAAAGGATGCATTGCTGTAACTATAGATAATAGTGAAATATACTTTGGAAACCAAAACTAAAATAAACACAGTCCAGTCATGCTGTTTATTTTGTATTATTATCGTAAGATAGGTTTAACCAGGTATGTACATTAATATACGTACCTGGTTTAACAAAAAGTTTATCTTATATTAAACGTATGCAAAATGTACAAATCTAATTCAGCGGTGTCAACGCCCATGCGCTACCCGATATACCGGAAGTTTATACAATCGTTCTTTCAATTACTTTGGTATGCTTTAATTAAGATACAGAGGAGATGTTCTACAGGTTAAATATAACTCAATACAATGTCATGTGTTTTCTATATGGCACTTAAAAGGGTAAAAGTTCAAATAACAGTTCCAGTTAGCGAAGATTGACAAAATTCTTTCCTCTTCGATCTAGATACTCATTACCATACTGATAATAATCTCCGGGATAGAAACCATATTGGTCACCATATTGGTCCCCATACTGGTCATCATATTGGTCCACATATTGGTCAGTGTCGTCCTCATCTTCTACATCATATAATATATCCTTCATTTTGCGTACCAAAGGGAAAGGTTGCGTAAAGTCTGGACAAAGTCCGCCAAAATCGTCCATATCTATACTCCAGACCATTGCCCCGGCATATCCATTCTCTTTTATATAGTTGAGCTATAAATAGAAACAGCCCAATGGTCATTATTTTACTTATTATGTAGCATTATTTCAAAGATTTTGGAAGAATTACATGGATCATATAAATATGTACAATTAAATATAAATTTTGAAAAAAATCAAAGTACTCGAGATACAAATTTGATTTTAATCAGTTTGATAAATAAGAGAGATGTATTTTTTAAGCAGCATGGCTCTAGATGAGTCAAAATATTTCAATAAAATCAAACTTGAGAAATATGTACTACGATTTTAGGAAACGTAAAATGATTCAAGATTCAAGTAATATTTTACATGTTAAATTTGTGCGGTTAATGACTTACAACTGAATTTCTACTGCGTTACTTTCGCAGTAATGGCTATTTATGCATATATTTTGACCACTTTTTGGTAATTTACATGGCCTGTAAGGGTCATTGATAATGTGTAAATTGCTTCCTTTTGGTTATTTCACAATATTATACAATCAAATACATTTTCAAATTTTCATGAAAACAAGCATGAATCTAGAGGCGTGCTGCTTTAAGGTTAAGGTAAAATCACCTTGACTTCAAAACTTTTCACATCATCGTAGCCTATCCAATGGTCCTCGTGTATCAGGTAGGGAACTTTCTGTTCAAATTCCAACAATTCTTCGCCGTTAGCTGCCAATTCGCAAACCTTGTGGTAAGAAAATGAACAAACACTTTTATCATTCATTCAAATAATGTGACAATCTGATGAGGTTTTAGGTTGGTTTTTAAGTTTTAGCTTGCTGACAGTAATTCAAACTACAGTGCAAACCTAGATCAGCAGGGACGCCAGTGCTATCTAAACACGGTCTGCACTGTTCGCTTTTCAGTCTACAATATGAATTTTGAAATGCGTATATATATAATCATTTTTCTCTCTCTTTTTTCTTCTGTAATACACACGCGGACATATATGGAAAGGATTCATACTTTTACAAAACTAATGTGACAAGACAGACCTATTAAAATTATAAAAAGGAAACATTAAGATTTGTTCAAACGTTTCTTTGTTTGCTTTAAGAAAGTAAAAAATCGAGCGTTGCCTCCGCCCGGCGGTGGCTCTTGTTGTAGGTAAGACCTGGTACCTTAGTAGAATCCATCAAAATATTGAGAAAGATCTACATTAATATATTCTTATAATGTCAAACATAGCCTGAGAAAAACAGTACATGCTATTGGCTTTGTATATTAGGTCGGTATAGTTAGCCATGAAATATCAATAAGCATCTATTTGACTAAGAGCAACAGAAATATTTTCATGTGCCGCTCCTTCGTGCAATACTTAATTAGCGTGACATATCATTCGGAAGCTAGTGGCATGGAAAGCTTCCTTACATGGACGAATTCAAAGTGTCTGCTGCGATTTGAAACCACTATGGTAAGTGGCAATCGATTATTAGTCAGCAACCTGAACCACCTCAAAAATAGATATAGTTTCTTTATTAGAATATATGTATATGAAAAAAGTCAACCTCATTATATGCCAGGAATCCATATTCGTTTGTATATGGTTGCCGTGGTCCAGCACCTCGGATTCTAGAACCAATAGACTTAACGTTCTTGTTAGCGAGTCTGTAGGAGCGCCCGTAAGCCGGAAGTCCAATCACCAACTTTTCCTTTGGAACATTTTGGCTTACAAGATAATTAGCAGCCCAGTCCTGAAAAATATTTCAGCCCATTGGCGGCGACTGTATCTACATTTGCAACTAATTCAGACCAGGACAGGATCAGGCTGCACGTCACGCGCAGTCTAATCATGGCCTGCACTGTTCGCTATTATGTTGGTACATATTTTTTAATTTCCCCCAAAAATGATAAATGGTTTTGTCCAGATTGTTAAATGAACAAGAATATATATGTGTGTATCAGATATTTTGCATTATATGACCCTCAAAAAGGGACTAGTTGATTTCTACGTACAATATGAAGAGTTATTGATCATCGTAAAATTGCTTTGTGCAGTTTAATATCAATAACACAGGGTAAGAAAAAATATGAAGCCTCACAGAGACTCGAACTCACGGCTCTCGAAATCTCGCTCCACAGGTTTACATAAAGATAAAGGTTTCGCCCCAATTATTGAACAAATCTGGTGGCATTAACTTTTTAGCTTATTTCGTTACAATCATGATAAGCATTAATCTCCACGGCAACAAGAGAGTTCAATCAAACAGCGTTGCTTGGATATTGTATTTATCGTCTAAAACGTAAAATGCTATGCAAATCTGTTTTACATATTTATAAAGTTATTTTTCGTTTGGTATACACAGAACAAGTACACAAAAAGCTGGTCACGGGCTATATATAGCTTATAATTCATGTGGTATATTTTAGCAAATTCAACTACAATGCTAGTATATAAAGTGTATTATTTCCTACAACATAGTATCATATGAACTAAAGTATTCAATAAAATATTATCCTATTTCCGAATTAAACCTACAGTTTAATTGTTACAATGAAAAATAATAGCCATAGAAAGAGCGGCAAAATAATTGGATATGCAGTTGAAGCCGTAAGAGACTCTTTCAAACTCAATATTAAAATATATATGAATGGGTAATACCCCTGTCACACCAAGAAAGTTCGAAGTACATTCTAAAGTATGTGGCCTAACGGTTATCAAACTGTGCGAAAACGGAGTGTTCGTGTTTTAAATTTAGGATATGACGGGAATTATGCCCCAAAACTTAAATTTTTACTCAAAATTTTTGTTTGACCAGTAAGACGGACTGCATACGTTCTGAAAACGACCAAAAACGAGATGAACGTATTTCGGACGCAATTGCCGTACTTATATCGTACTAGAGACGTGCAATAACTTCTTGGTGTCTGGCGACGATTGGCATTATAGAGAATTTACACAGATCTGTCAGTTTGTAGCTCGGTCATCCCTTTCACAGACAAACGTGACTCGGTTTCATTACGTCAAAAGTACTTTATAATAATTCCGTTTAAATACAAAAAATTAACATTAATTTGTTTGTACAATTTTGTAACACGTTTCAATTTACATATTGTAGTCCTAAACGTTCAAAATAGGTTCTCAGCACGATCAACTTGTCTTGGGTACGTAATGAAGCGGTTATTACAACGTCTCCCCTGTTTACAGTACACTCGGACCGAGTAGAAATAAATACAGGTCGTTTTCGCACTGGTTCACAATTGAAATGAACCATGGATAATTTAGCATCTGTAACGATGCTGAGTATAGGAATTATTTATTTTGGTTTCAACCAGAGCAAGGATTCAAGATGGAAGAGCAACAGAGGAGATGGATAATACGAAGAACGTGTTGGGCGAGGACCAGCTTATCTAGCTCTTTTCTTACTTTAAGGTATGGTGATTACGAATGTCGTTGGTTTCATGTAAACTGTTTGAACGGTCGAACTAGAATCAAGACTTGCAGAAACATGCTGGCAAGTCGGAACGTGTGTGTAATGACGATCTGAACGCATGATGAGGAACATGATAAAGACGCGTGGTCAGAACGTTTTGAACTTCTTACGAACGAGGTGGTCGTGTTACAAACTAGTAGTACAACGAATTCAAACTGTCTGCAGACGGCGGGCAATTTAACCAGATCCAAACAGACTTCATATTGGTTTGAGACGCGATAGACGTATAAATAACGGTTTATGAACTAATTTTGGATCGCATTGTAGATATTATATTTTTAACTAGAGCACACTCCGTTAAAGGGCATTGGACGTGTTAATCAACAACTAGTTTGATGTGACAGCTCCATTAATAAGGCACATAAATTGTTATTGCACATGGTCTAAATGCGTCTTTAAGACAGCATATTTTAAGTACTATAGCATAATTGATTTTACTTACAACATTCTTTTCTAGGTCAGCCGAACTTTCGGAACTCCTTTGAAATAAAGGACTATTATGACCAGCAACTCTTTCCCAATCTCCATGAAAATCATATGCCATAAGACTAATGAAGTCAAGGTTTCTAAAGAAGCAAAATAGACAAATAATTGAAATCAATTGATGTGCAACAAAACTCTTTCTTAATCAACAATAAACAAGGTATCTTTTTAAAAGTAGTTCTGGGAGCATTGCACTTTCTCTGTGAATTAATATACGACATTCGAGTTTGAAAGAAAATGCTTTTGATCTTAGTTAATTGCTGTACTTACTTGGCCATTTCCTCCAAGTCGTAACCTCTTCTTAGCAATACCTTTAGATGAGGGACCGCTGCGGTAAGCATCGGTTTATAGTATTCCGCATCGAACTGCCTCCTGAGTTCCTGTTTTATAATGGATAAAAATTACACACGAGCTAGAAATATTACATTAGAACGTTTTTATGTTAAGTCTTGGATTAATACAGGAAGCACGGGAACTCGAGGTTCCATAAAGCAATATATAAGATGGCAAACACTGATTGCCATTATTTATTTCAACACGTAAATCTAAGTTTCGGCCGTAGGTACAGAAAAGGGTCAGTTTAAGAAAGCAAAAAGTACTCTAACCTATCACAATGTTTCAAGTTATTTTCAGGAATTGTTTTTAATTAATTGCACATCTCATATATTGGATGCGATTGCCCTATTTTTGTCTTTTATATGCAGTAATGCTCGTAAAAACTCGACATGAATTTTCACTCTTGAAGCTTCTTATCAATATCAAATAAACTTCTATAAGACATGGTGCAACAAAATAAATTTTGTGTACTGAGCGCTTTAATTAAGGTTGGTTAAGAATTGTCGGATATGTGTATGAAGGATTGTACCCGAATAAGCGAAATATAATTCCTCTTATCAGCTGATCTTCTCCCACCTTTGCCAGCCGGAAATTCCCAGTTGAGGTCAAGGCCATCGAAACCCCATAAGTTAAGAAATTCTATAGCTTTTCTTGCAAAGGTCTTGCGAAGATTTGCGTCGGCTGCTAGGTCGGAAAACTGTGTACTTCCTTGATTGTATCCACCAACTGCCAGCAGTGTTTTCAGTGAGGGATTCTTTAACTTCAAACTAGTGAATTCATCCACCCTGTGTATTTGCAGGTAAACAAAGCTATATTAACTTCACATATGAATGCACAAGGATAAATTACTTTTAATTAATGGAGAGTTTCCATCTGTAGTGTATATTTTATTACATCATCAATCTTGATAAAACTTGTAATGTAGTTTGATAAAAGAGAAAGAAAGAAAGATGCCGATATGCTGCAGTTAGTTGTAAAATATATATAAATGTATATATTTGATACATGAATGCAGTTATACACTTATATAGATCTATACTAACATTTCTCTATCGGTCGGTTCCGTGAATATTATTTCAGAACTTTGGTTCAGTTGAGCAAAGGCGTAAATAAGATGCGTACACAAATGTGGATCTATCTTTGCCGGCGTAATACGTGCTGGCACGGGTCGATACAGTGCCGAGTTTGAGTAATAACAAACTCTGAAATGCCCTGAAGAAAAGAACAGTTTTATTTTGATAATGAAAATTACGGGGCCATGATTACACCCAGATTCTTTTACACCAATTTCTTCAACGAAGAAATAGGATCATATTATAACCATGTTTCTTACTACATTCATGTTGATGCCAACACAACAAGTTTGCGACCTCAATTCTTTCATAAATTTATTTCAACTATTAATATGTTTGCTCTCATTCTATTCACTGATATAAGTTTCCTTTTTGTATTTGTAAAATAAGAAGAAACTTCAGAAAGCGTCTTCAATTCACAAAAAGAACCATAACGTTCTCTTTCTTTACAGAAGACACGTTGTATATATATTTGTAATTTTTGTATGGCTAACAATTAAGCAGTCATGGGTTCGAACACCCGCTAGCTATTCCAGCCTATATATCAAATATATTTTGTTTAGGTCATGCGCAAGACAGTATCATCCGGTACTCTGGAGAGTTATGAGCTGAGATACTTTTAACATATGTACCTTTAAAGACCCATTACGCCAACGAAATGCATTTTTGTTTTCTAAATAGCTTTTTTGTTTTTGGTGTTCATGTCATAGTTTCTAAAAGGATATACTCATTGGCCAGCTACATGAATCATCTTTTGACCATGTTGCCTTTTAAAAAATAGCACAGTGACAGTGCTTTCGTATTTTGTATGAAAGTTAAAATACTACATTGTTTTCATTTTTATACCAGAATGGCAAATACTTTCACATTCATCTTATTTTTTTTTCACGTTTAAGCATTCCACTTACTCATAAGCCAGCTTTGCCCTTTCTAAAGAAATAAAAAATTATTCGTTTCTGGGGCATAATGTGCCTTAAACGTAAGTAAAAACAGCAGATATTAAAGTTTTGTTTTATAAGTGCAAAAAAGTACTTACCTTTAACGTAACTGAAAACAGCCGTAATAAGGGCTATTTTTAGTAACATCATTTCGAGACACTTTTGTCTTTCACCTTGAATTAAAAAATAAATCGGTATCTTTATATACACTGTATACACATTTTTAATATAATGTTGATTTGTTGTAATTCACACATTGGAGATTGTCTGGTAATATTTCCACTATCAAAGCCATGTGTACATCGCCGTGAGAAAGCATGGAAGCAGGCATGCATCTGTTAAAATGCACGTTTTACAAAACTGTACCCCGGCTAATAAAAGTTTACTGCTTGTTATGCATTTCTTTTTGTTATTACAAACACTTGATTTGCATTCATATTTCTTTTATTAGAGCAGCTTGACAACAATCTTGCTGATTTTTTATTACGTTAAGAACAAACACACTACATCATAATTACAACGCATTACTTTACAGAAGGTCTAGCTTGCATAGTTTTATGTAGCTGTTAAACATAATTATATCTTTTATCTTTATATATGATTATCTTGATATTGAAAAAAGTGACAAAATAATAATAACAATAATACATTAACAATAGAGCTAATACATGTAATAAAACCAAAGACTAAACGACTCGAGACTTACCGAATTCAAAATAAATCTCCAAAAGTTTTGAAACACTATTTCATTTACGTTTTCCGAAAAGGGTAAAAAGTTATTGTAGATTTATATGACTTTGCAAATTTAAGTTTATCCAATATTTGAACAACGGGGAAGGCGTACATGGGTGTAAACCATTCTCTCGCAATAAAATTCATTGGCCAGCTCGACAGATGACATCCTATTTCGGCACTCTTCAGTCAAATTTGTATTTGATCGGATTATATTAAGTGTATCCAGTTTCATTGATGGAGTAACCGGAAACTTTTATTGAAAGTTTTCGGATAGGGTAGCAATTTTGTCCGCCCTCGCACGAACAAATGCGTGTTGTTCGACCATTTAACGCTGAAAAGAGTTTCAAATTTACTTATTTTACATAAAATGATATCTTATGAGAAATCGTAGATTTACTTGAGATATACCATATAAAATTTATAATGGTTCAAAAGTATTAAACATGGTCCAGTTGTAAAGCTTTTTATATAAGAATAATATAGTCAAGTTACTAACGAAAAATATTTTATTATAATAAGTGTCTGAAATCATTTCTGTATAAACTCTTCAGTACTAACCTTTACTAATATAAATCATTATAATATATCCGGGTTCAAATCTAAGCTCTGTAAAGAATATTTGAGCCGCGTCACGACAAAACCAACATAGTGGGTTTGCGACCAGCATGGATCCAGACCAGCCTGCGCATCCGCGCAGTCTGATCATGATCCATGCTGTTCGCTTACATACCCTATTACAAGTAGAGAAACTGACAGCGAACAGCATGTATCCTGATCAAACTGCGCGGATGCGCAGGCTGGTCTGGATCCACGCTAGTCGCAAACCCATTATGTTGGTTTTGTCATGGCGCGGCTCATTTAGAATGAAACGTAGGTGGTGTTGTTAGTTTTCATACGGATCACGGCAGTAAGCCACATTGAATTTACTAGAGGACAGTTCAACCACCGCATCACATGAATGCAGAGACCTATTAGACCTTTTGAATGAAATAGAGTTGCTCAAACTGTAATTATTTATGGAGTTGAAAATATTATAAGCAATAAATATTAAATGAATAATAAATTGTTTTTGATAATTGATAAAACAAGAAATGATGTACTACATAATGTACCACAACTAGCATTATTGAATGACCACATTCATATATTGTCCTTCGCGCAATCATAAAATATGCGAAAAGTGTGCCTCAAGATTGAAATCTCAGAATGCTGTAATCAAATGTGAACAGTGTTCTACCAGTATAGAGCCAGGCTAGCCGCAACAACCGCGTGCAGGTTAAATACTTATAGGCCCTTAACTGTATGTGTACCAATCAACATCCAGTATAGATATTGATTTTTCAAAATTTATATTCGATTGTTTCTTTAAATTGGAACTTCACAAAATTAATTAAAAAGACACTATATATAGTCAATGCTTTTAACCAATTATTGTTCATGATTGAAAACAATCGACACTAGGCAAAATTAGCCCTGTTAAGCCGGCAGGAAAGCGAGTTAAGGGGATGGTTGGGGATAAAAGAATTCCATTCTTTGGGAATCATTCTCTCTGCTTGCGGTAGACGACGTTATTGCTCCTTCTTATGTTCATAATTTCGCCTTGATGATGAGAAACACGGAAAGTTAGATATCTTACTAAAGGAAATAAACAATGTCCAATACAAGACTCAAATCAGGCTTCTCTTCGGTCCCGGTGGCATGTATTACAATTCACTGCATCTTAAGAATAGATTCAGCTGGATAGGCGTTAAGTTCATGTTTTATTTTCATACATGAATTGATATTTCTATCAATTTAATCACAATATTATTACTTTATGCAAACATCCGGCATTGTCTGTATAGTAAGAGGAATTATAAAAAATAATTATGCAATTTCATTCCCCGCATCCCTTCCGCTCCCTTCGAACACAATCTTTGTCGTCGACAATCGCATCTTCTTCTCGTCAAGCTTTGGATATTGACTTCAAACTGTCAGACATATATTCAATCATAATTTTACCGAAATAGACTTTATATTCCTTTGAATGTCAATTATATATACCTTATACATTATCAAAATATTACACCTACATTTTAAAACGACTTTCTATCCGTATTAATTTTAAGATACGATATTGCAAATAAACCAGTTTTAGAACGGCCGAGTATCTTTTTTAAAGATACTTCTTGTTTTTTGCCGCTTTTCAATAGATCCATGTTCATAATAAAAGCAAACTGCGCATACTTCCGATACGAGCGAAGGCTCATAACGTTAAAATGACTAGGGCTATACTATACACTGTATTACAAAACACAGATTTGATTTTGATTTTCATATATATTTCGTTTTAGATCATAGGATTGTGTGGGGTTCTGATTAGGATTATGTGCGGCTGGGGATTGACATGCAAGGCACGTAACACTATAGCCGGTAATGCAATACAGTATTTATATGATGAGTTTTCCGGCCGGGGTTTTCCTGTTAAAACAAGGAACCACCAAACCATTACATGTATTTTATTTATTATTATGATAAATAATATTACATAAAATAGATCAGCTTATTTTCTTTATTTACGTTGTTAATGAAAAGGAAATTATGTACAATTGTTGCTGTTTATGCCTTTATTTATACCCGCAAACGGAACAACAAAATATGTTCGATAATATGTCGTACCATGCTTTTCCAATTTTTTATTGAAAATCAGTTGAATGTTTTATTAATATTATTGTTATCTTCATGTCGGGTTTTTATTTTGCGACATTGCTTTTAGTAAAGAACTTTTATGCCAAGTGGACATTTATTATGTCTTCCTTGTTATATACAAAAATAATTGCCACAAATACTAACATTTTCATTCAACCCTTACTTTATGAACGTGTCCAGTTTCCATTTTTAGTACTGTACATCGTCAAATTTTAGGAGATCAAGATGAAAATATTAACGTCAGTCTAAAATATAGAGCTTGCAAGATTGCAGGAACAAAGACTTATCAATTTCAGCAATTGGAGGATTAAGTAACTCTTTTTGAACAGAATGCTAAATTATTCCTAGTATATGTTTCCTTACCAATAACAATAGACATTATTCATCATATAGATTAATGTTCATAACGAAAGATTTATTCTCTAGATAGCGTTGGAATGGTAGTTAGGGTGTCAGTCCATTCTCATTCAAAGGATCTAGGATTCAAGTATGACACAGGAATGGTTAATCCTAGGAAGCAGACATATGATGGTCCATTCATATAAGCTACAAACGTTCTTAAATAAAATAACGTGATCCACGTATAATAAAGATATCAAGTTGTCATGGACACCTGCTTTGTCTTTTCATGTCTCTCGCGGCCATTTTTCCAATCATGGACAGCATTCCTGAAATATTCTAGAACCGGTCTAGCTATTTTTAGACAATAACAAGCTGATTTTGATTGGTCGATTTTATTTGAAGACATGTATCAAGTACAAGATACAACAATACCACTTGTTATTGTAGTAATCATAGTGACAGTAAAAATCATATACATGTTAATATAAAACATTAAAAGCCATATATATATATATATTGCACAAAATGTAATTTAAAGTTTATCAAGTTTTAGTTAAAGGAATGCCATGTACTTTATTAATAAAATTTAATGTAAAATGTTATTTCTCTTTAATACAGTCAACTTTTCAGTTGGCCACTTTCGTTTTTCTTGCGGAAGTTATATATATTGAGTCTTTCATGTACAATCATTTACACGTATGAAGAGTAGTGTTCTATTCGTTATTCAGATTGAGTCTCCGTGTTATATTTTACAAAAGATAATGCCTCCGTGTTAAACTTCTAACCAAGTCCGGCCTCCGTGTTAGTTCTGTATCAATCCGGAAGTCAATGTCCCGGACGACTCTGCGTTTTCTGCATCAGCATCTGACATTTTATTCTGCAGCTTTCGCAAGAGTGTTTCAATCAATGCTTTTTCTGTCTCGGACTCATTCATTGACAACACTGGCAAGATATTTAAACAGAAAAAACGTATTAGCAAAAGCCAAAAATTAAATACATATACAGTATATTTCACAGTACTTGCACAATTTAATTTGCTATGCTAAATGAACACCGGTGGGACAATGTAAAATACATCCATAATTAGTGAGATTGTTTTTCGACTATTTGAATTAAAAATTGGACTGATTAAAACAAGCTTACCTCTTTTAACTTTACAGTCAACTGCCCACATATGGTTACAATTTTTGATTTTCTGGTCCCAGTATGTTCCTGGCGCGCACGGTCTTATGACAGGATTATAATGATTACATATGATGAATTTCGAGCAGCTGTCCGGGTGTTCAAAATAGCCAAATCTGTTCTGTTTGCAAATCTCTGAAGAAGAATTACAGACTTTTCATATAAACTATTTAGGACACAGATTTTCTTAATTTATTTATTCTTTATTAGTTATTACTTTCTCGTTTAAACTATGCTGTAATATGTTACTGTAACAAAGCTAGATAAATATTTGATTTGGAGCTCAGTCAGAACAATGCACAATGTCGACAGTTGACACGTCTGACATTATGTTAAATAAGAATGGATATTCCCTAGTAGTGAAAAAAACAAAAAAAAACAACAACAAAAAAACAAATGCAACTGGCAAATTAGCAAGGAGTGTTAAGATGGCCTATACAGAGGAATTTTATCAAGTTTGGGTGTTTGAATTGCTTTACTATTAGTTACCTTGTGGAGTTTGTTTTGATGTAGGCGCGTCTGTTTGCGCTGGTCTTGTGGTTTGGGGCGGGGCTTGTGTTGGTCTCTCGGTCTGTGGTGGGGCTGGTGTTGGTCTCGTTGTCTGGGGTGGAGCTGGCGTTGGTCTCGCAGTCTGGGGCGGAGCTGGTGTTGGTCTTGTAGTCTGAGGTGGGCGTTGCGTTTGATCTGACGGAGATTGATCCTCATCTTCATCATCAGATGTTCCTAGCTCTTCACGAATGACTTTCATCAATGGGTAGTTTCCGCTTCCACATATATTATTAAAATCATCGAGCCCAATTTCCCAAACCATAGCTCCACCAAAACTGTTCGTCTTTATGTACTCAAGCTACAGATGAAAGTGTTCATTTATTTCAATGACAAAACAAACCCAGCTGAACGCATATAATATTTAACATATTTGCTCCCAAAGGGAAATACATAACATAAAAACGACTATAAATGATAATCTATCCAATCCATATTTTTTTCTTTATATAAAAGTTTCTTTAAAAAAAAATGTTTCCTATCATTTCCTTTTTGTTTGCCTCATTGTACATGTAATTATAGAAATATTTGATGGCATTATGAAACTATATATAGTATAATATCAAATTGCGAAATCCCTAAAAGGAATATTAAACAGTTTACTCATCAATCTAAAATGAAAGATATACCAAGCTCAAATTTCATATTAGAAAATATTGATAACTGCTACACAACCTCTTTGCAAATATAAAATAAACATGTTTTGACTTCACACAAAGTAGATATATTGTGTTTAAAACTCTATACACTATAGGTGGTCACAATATGAATTTGTAGTCATTAAAAAGACTAGCAGTTTTTTTAAGAAAAGACGAACGTATCATGACCCTTAATATGGAATACAGCTTCCCATACATAGTTTATTCATTTCTTTATTCAAATTAGACAAGAATTTCATAGATTTCAATAAATTTCTGTGATAAAAGTATTTTATGCAATTATGACATAATACATCTTTAAGATATCATGCATAACATTATTTAGGAGCTGATTTTTTCATCAGATTTGTTAACTCATTCAAGATATATCAAATCTAGCATCACTCGCCTTGTCCGTAAAACTGTCTTTGTCATCATAACTAATCCACTGGTCACCGGAAACCAGATGCGGTACTTTATGCTCGTCGTCCAAATATCGTGTAGCACCATCTTGCAGAGTTTTACAAATCTGGAATTTACATATAATCAAGAATATATGAAAAATCGGCGCGAGAGAAAAAAAAAGATTATTGAATAATTGATTTATGTTTGGTCAACCAGAAAGTGTGCAGCGTTCTTCCGACTGTACAGGTTGAAGTTAAGATTATGAATATAACAAAGAAAACTAAATATACATTATACACGTTGATTAAATTGTCAGTTTGACATGCAACAAATGATTTACAAAAACACTATACCTCATAATATGCTAGAAATCCATTTTCTTTTGTGAAAGGTCCCATGGTACCTGCACTTCTAATAGGCGCACCTATTTCACTGTTACTAGGCCTGGCTAAAGTAAAGGAACGACCATACGTTGGGAGACCTATGATCAACTTCTCATTCGGAACACCTTTGCTGACCCAGTAACTCGCAGCCCATTCCTATTGAGTATCAGATATTTCATTAAAGACGTAAAGGAATTAGTTAAAGTAGAGTTTGTTTGTTGTTTTTTGTCCTTTTTTCTGTTTTTTTTTCTGTTTTTTATTCGTTGTTGTGTTTTTTCTCTTTCAAAGATACATGTACCTTTATTTTTATTTGGTTAATGTAAGCATTATAACTAAAGGGGAAAAGTAAGGTTGTTCTATATCCGCAACCTCGCTTCACTTCATAGTCTAACAATTCATGTTTTTATATATTTTATATTCATTTTAATTGGTGTACTTACTTTTGTATTTGCTGTTTTTGTTTGATTTGTCTTGTTGTTAATGGGGGAGAAGTGGGTTTTTTATTCCGTTTGTTTTCATTTTGCTCTTTGTTGCTGTTGCTCTTGCTTTAGAGGGACGGGGGGGGGTACAAAAACAGTAGATGTGATTAAAAATAATGTGTGTTTCCAAGAATATTTCCAGTTAACGGTAAAGTTATACAGTCATATACCTACCACGTTCTTTTGTCCGTCTTCCTCGATTTCATCTTCCCTTGCAAACAAAGGACTGTTGTGTTCGGCATTCTTCTCCCATGGTCCATGTATATCGTACGACATTAAACTGATGAAATCTAAATACCTGCAAACATTATCCAAAGGCGGAAAGTTTTTTTAATACATGTATGCATATGATATAAAAGAGCACTGAAATTGTTAACAATGTTTGACACTGAACTGCTGTCACATGAATGACAGTGGTCAAATAACGATTAAGCGTTATATAGTACCTTACTATTCATATTTACGTACGCATTTACGTACAATGTACACATTAAGTAATAGATATACCATTGCTGCGTTGACGATTTCTGGGTTTGCGTAAATTATACCATAATCACGTGACCTTTCTTATGCCTTAACCTCACGAGACGAAGTCGGACGAAGTCGAGTGAGGTTGCATAAGAAAGGTCAAGTGATTATGGTATTCGTCTCGTGAGGTTAAGGCATAAGAAAGGTCACGTGATTATGGTATAATTTACGCAAACCCAGAAATCGTCAACGCACCAATGGTGTATCTGTTTTAACCTATAGCTCCGCCCAGAAACACCTACTCCTTCGATCTTCAAAACTGAAAATTATACCATAGTCTGGGTATGGTATAATTTACGGTTATTGGAAATTATACTTGGAAGAATTTTACATAAGAAGCGCTGAAGAGCTATAGGTTAAATGTTTATTAACCTATAGCTCTTCAGCGCTTCTTATGTAAAATTCTTCCAAGTATAATTTCCAATAACCGTAAATTATACCATAATCACGTGACCTTTCTTATGCCTTAACCTCACGAGACGAATACCATAATCACGTGACCTTTCTTATGCAACCTCACTCGACTTCGTCTCGTGAGGTTAAGGCATAAGAAAGGTCACGTGATTATGGTATAATTTACGCAAACCCAGAAATCGTCAACGCAGCAATGGTATATCTATAGCTCTTCAGCGCTTCTTATGTAAAATTCTTCCAAATATAATTTCCAATAACCGTAAATTATACCATAATCACGTGACCTTTCTTATGCCTTAACCTCACGAGACGAATACCATAATCACGTGACCTTTCTTATGCAACCTCACTCGACTTCGTCCGACTTCGTCTCGTGAGGTTAAGGCATAAGAAAGGTCACGTGATTATGGTATAATTTACGCAAACCCAGAAATCGTCAACGCAGCAATGGTATATCTATTACTTAAAGTAGATCCCTTGAATTCTACAAGTTGAATATACACATAGGCTACTGCTGAATTTCACGTTCGTGAATATTCAGCAAAGTCCGTTACTTTCAGGTAATTTCAATTGATATGAGACTGTACTTACTTCACCATGTTACGAACGTCATAGCCACTATCTATGTCGACTTTATTCCAAGGTACAGCTGCAGACAGCAATAGTTTTTCTTTACTTGATTCCATTGCTTGTCGTAACTCCTGCAGCAAGAAAAATGACTAATCTTTGAACACATATAAAAGTGATATACATTACACATAACTGTGTTTGTAGCGTAATAGCGACAAAAGCACTTACTTCGATTGCTAAGTGCTTGTTGTTAAATAAAATGAAAAGGATAGAACTTTGTGATTTTTTTCTGTAAAAACGGTCAAATAAAATTCTTTCTCAAGTTATCGTTATATCACACTCCACACTTGACTTCTCTTTTATTTAACAAAATATTGTTTAAATCAACATGTATACAAATTGTTCTATCAATATGTTAATGCTCAAACGTCATAGATATTGTGTAGTATACATACATTTAATAATTGAACAAAATTTCTTCTATTCTTAAATCTTTCAGCTCTGGTTCCGGAAGTGAACTGCCAATCCAAACTGAGGCCGTCAAACCCCCATTTTTGGATGAAATCTACAGCCTTCCGGGCGAAGTTTGATCTCAAGTTAGGATCGTCTGCCATTTTCGAGAGTGAAGTTGCCCCTTGATTATATCCACCTACGGCTAGAAGGGTTACAAGCTTTGGATTGCTCTTCTTCAAGCCATTAAAATTCCTTACCCTTTAGAAATATAAATAAAACAGACTATATACCGGAAATGACGTTACAATTTCCGGTATAAAGGAGAAACAAAAGAGAAAAAAACATATCTAAATGACGGGATATGAACTAAGTTAAAGAACTTATTAAGACACTGTCCATTCTATCTCGCAAAGAACATCCTATCTCAGAAGTGATCATGTACCGACCAGAAGAAAAACATTATTTTTTAATAAAATAAGAATTATCTTGAAGCTTAAGGATAAACGGTTTATCACTATTAACATATATGTCAACTTACAAATTTCCATCGTTATATTCTGTGAAATTCAGCTCGGAATTTTCGTCTACTTTCGCAAAAGCATAGATAAGATGTGTGCAGATATGTGGATCTATTTTATCAGGCAGAAGTTTTGCTGGAGCGGGACGATATTGTGCCGCGTTTGAATAGTAACATACCCGTATAAAACCTGAAGAAAAAAGAATATTTTTACTGTTGACTATATCTGTTGACTTAAACATAATTTTATCAAATCGTGAATGAGTGGTTCAAGTCGCTAAATCATTAAATCATAATCGTTTGTCACTCATCACTGTAGGTTAGAACCCCTCCATGAACTTTAGATTTGTTCATGTTAGAAAAATGTGAAGCTAGTTTAATAAGGGAGGTTAGTGGTTCTTTTTCGGTTATCTGCTTATCCTAGACAAAGTGCATGAGATATTCCTCCGCTTGTAAATCCGAAAAATCGTCATTTTGCCATTTCAGTGTCAGTGATATTAAAGTCAGTCATTAAAGTAATATTACAGATACGTTTGATAAATATATGTTATTTTACAGAAAAATAAACAAAGGAATGAGAAATAAAACATACTGTAATATCACTATTAGTTATAAAGAGTTTTGGCAGGTAAATTACACTATATAAACAGTTGTTTCCATATATAACAAGCCTAGCGACTCAGGTTATATTTCCAAACAACCGTTTATATAGGGTCATATAACCTTTCAAAAAAAAAACTTTATACTTAATATAAACGACACCATTATCCAATGAAAAGCAACATTACAAACGTGCAGTATTATAAATAATCTTTTAATCTGCTGTCAATTTATAAAGTTATTTTCGTGTTTTGTTTTCTTTCGTATAAAGCAATTCTGCAGCTTTATATATTCGTTATATAGTTATATAACAAGTAAACGTTTATGCACGGTCATACATCTTTATAACTTATGATATGTGTACAAGCTTGTTAGATTTTGAATCTAAACCTATTCATTTATATTTTGGACAAACTGAACATAGAAATACAAACCATCTGCAGTGACCGCTACAACGCTTGCCAATAAAACAGCTGCTCGTAGCAGAGTCATTTCGTGGACCTTCTTGTTATCACTGAAAATTTCAAATATTCTTATAACCCTAGAAATAAATTAGATATTTCAATGTTGAAAAATCAATAATCTATGTAGATGACAGTCGTAAATCACGATTATTCACATTGCTTCCTTATTGTGTTAACAAATACCCTGCTGGAACCACAGGTGTTCGGCACATTGATTGGTCACTACACCCCCCCCCCCCATACCCACTATACAACCCTCTTAAAAAATGTCAAATGCATTATTTTTTCACATAAAATGTGTTTTACTTCTTGATATATACTATAAAATCAATTTTCTTCAATCCCCCCAAAAATATAAAAATGAAATATATATATATATAGAGGATATTCAAGTTTTTTCTATAAATACATGATTTATTTTCATCGAGTGGTATGAAAATAAATATTTGGTTTAAACATATTTATTCAACAAAACATTTAGCAAGTGAACAATATTTACAAAGTACATTTTGGGATTGGGCAGAAAGCTATAAAGCTTATAAATGTCCTCTCCCAGTTATGATAATTTACAATAACAAAGTTCATGGCATTATCATACACAACGGTTAGTTGAAATATTCAAAGACATTCACATAATAGTTAAGAGTTAAGTATTTAGCAATATAACATATGTAAGAGCAAACAGTAAAAAGGAGGAAAAAAAGATTGAAGAATAAAGCAACTCACAAAAAGTACAAATAGACAAACACCTGTCTTAGTTTTTTGTTTGTTTTAGAATTTAGTAAGAAGAAATAAAATATTATCTTATTTGAATGCTTACAGCTGTATATTAGCAGATACAATAGGTATACACTGAATATTTAAAGAAAAAAAGATATTATAAAAGGAAAGAAGAAATGGATGAACAATGATGGAACAATAACGAGGAACTAAGATGTATAATCTAGTAAATGTCAAATATGTTAAGACATCTCTGGTTTTAAGTACGCTAAAATCGTTTTGTATCTCGGATATATTTTTGAACTGAATTAAAGATTGATACATTAGAATCATAAGGTAAAGTAGTGGAACCAGTAAGAATGACATTGATGGAAGGATGACAAAATTGAGATATAGTACTTATTAATTCAGGTCGTAGGTTTGTATATTTAGGGCATTCAAAAAAGTAGTGATAAGCATTTTCTCTCGCACCACATTCACACAAAGGAGAGTCGGTAATGTTCTTATCAAATAGATCGGCAGAAAGAGAGCTGCAGTTAGTACGTAATCTTGTGTGAAAAATTTGTAATTTACGCTCACCGCATAGAAAATGGGCAGGTACTTTTGGCATATCAGTATTAAGAAGTCGCTTAAATGATGTTAACGTTGTAGCAGTTTGTGTTTGAGGTGGAAGAGAGTTGAAATCCCTAATAACAGAAGGTAAGAATGATTTATAGTAAAATTCTGTATTTGTACGGATATATTGTATGTCGTCTGCGTTCCTGAGAGGGTAACGATGCTCACTGCCAATCGATGGGGGGACAAGATCAGAAAGATAATGTGGTGTAAGGTTGTTTTTCATTTTAAAAAATAGAATAAGTTTATGTTTGTGTCTCCTTTTTTCTAGGGATTCCCAGCCAATTTCATTCATGAGTTTATCGATTGATACGAGCTTAGTTGTTCCAGTAATTATTCTAGCGGCTTCTTGTTGAATTTGTTCGAGGTCCTTTTTATCACTTTGCGTACAATTATCAAAAAGCACATGTCCATATTCTAAAATTGGTCTTATGAAAGATTGATAAATTATTTCTAATGATTTCCTATCAAGTTGGAATTTTAATTTTTTCATAACATTTATTCTTTTCCAAGCTTTATTTATGATATATTCAATATGAGTGGACCATCTTAAATCATGAGCGAAAGTAATTCCCAAGTGTTTATGAATGCGTACTTCTTTTATTTGTGTGCCATGCATAAAGATAGGAGGATGGATTACATTATGGTTTGTTTTTCGTGTTATTATTAGTGATTCTGTTTTAATGGGATTAAATTTTACCAACCATTGTTCGGCCCAAGAAGTTATCTTATCAAGATCTGAATTAAGGATAGTTGAAGCAGTCACGGGGTCTTCGACCACAATAAAAAGGTTAGTGTCGTCGGCGAAAAGTCTTATATTGGCATTGATGTCGATAACAATATCGTTAATATAAACAAGAAACAACAAAGGCCCAAGAATTGACCCTTGTGGCATACCAGCGGCAATAAAATTAAGAGAAGATCTACAACCTGGTAAAATAACTCTTTGTCTTCTGTCCTTAAGATAAGAAGAAAACCAAGAGGAAAGACGGCCAGAAATACCGATACAATTTAATTTATAAATAAGGCCCTTGTGCCAGACCCGATCAAACGCTTTACTGATGTCACAAAACACAGCCCTGACTTCTTTACCAGAATCAATGGCCTGTGCAAACAAATTATATAAGTATGTTAGTTGGTTGACAGTGGAGTCTCCGGGAACAAAACCAGATTGAAGAGATGTAATGATATTATTATCACGCAGAAAATTAAATGTATGTTTAAATACGATTCTTTCAAAGACTTTGTTGACAGTACTTATGAGAGATATTGGTCGGTAGTTATTAACAAGAGAAGGATCACCCGATTTGAAAAGAGGTGAAACATTTGCTTCTTTCCATACGTCTGGAACTTGAGAAACCTGAATGGAATAGTTAAATAGAGAACTTAGAGGACCACTGAGTTCATGTGAGAGTTCACGAAGGATTCGATTGTTAATATCATCAGGACCAGCGGCCTTTCCCAAAAGAAGTGATTTCATTACTAATTGCACCTCATCTGGTGATATGGTGAGATCATCCAGATGATAAGGAATGTCGGGCAAGTCAGTAAGAATTGGAGCCTGACTTTCGTCAATACGTGTTTGCGCAACAAAAAAGTCGTTCAAGAAATTAGCTTTTTCCAAATTTTCAGTGATGACGGTGTTATTATTAGTGGTTAAGGGGGGTATTGAGTTAGAATAAGACGGTTTAATAAAGGATTTAAGACAAGACCACCAACTCTTTGAGTTCCTGTTTTCGTGTTGTAATTTTTGGGCTAGATTGTCGATATGTTGTTTTTTTGCTTCTCGAATTTTTGATATAATTTGGTTTCTTAAGGTTCGAAAACGTGCCCAATAATACGGTGAATTAGTTTGTCTGGCTTTTCGATACAGTCGTTTTCGTTTTCTTATTAGCACTCTTAAGTTATTTTTAAACCAAGGCGGTTCGTTTTCGCGGATTAAGACTTTTCTAGTCGGGATACATTGTTTTGAGAGAGATATTATATTGCTAGTAATGTTATGTGCGTATACGTTTATATCATCGTTTTTAAGGGAATCCCAATCATATTCGGAGGCCAGTTGTCTAAGTAGATCGTAATTTCCTTTATCAAAGATCCAAACATTACGATAGAAGCAAAGTCGTTGGCTTAATACTACAAACCCGTATGTCATTTTTTTGTCATTTTTAGAAAATCGCATTTGAAAGTTTGAACTGTAATAACATTTTAATGATAAACCGTATAAAGATAAAATTTTCAGTGAATTTAGAAATCTGTATGTTGTACATATGTACCAAATTTTATTTCTGTGCATACAATTTTAAAGCTAAAATATCAAATAACTAATTTCAATTTTTCATAATGAATAAGAAAATACATACAAATTCTGAATTCTAAAACCCCATTCGAGAGATACGTGGTTGTTGACAAAACATTCAGGTCATTTCTACACCATAAAAGCGACATACGGGGTTCTAATTGAAACATTTGAAGCAAAATTGACTAAGTGTAATAATTTTCGGCTAGAAACATAGCAAAAATTCAAGTAAAAAATATCATTAACTTCTCCTACTGTGTAAAATATTACACGTCTGTTTGAAAATCAATGCTACTATCAAATGAAATCTACATTAATTTTTCAAAAGTATGCACTTGTTATGTTACATGTTTATCAACCGTGGGTATTCGACGATGCGTTGCTGTCACATACCTATGTTGCTATTATGTTTCAATTTTTGATTTAGAGTGTAAATTAAGTAGATGCTTTTCGTGCTTCAGAAAACAGCGTTGAATCTGAAACAATTTGTCCTGATAGCATCTAGATGTAAACAAAGTGGTATTTTGTCTTCCATTCAAGAACATCTAATAACTATAACTTTTATGGATGATCAAAATGCAAATGTAAAAATAGGTTCAGCTATATAGGTAATGAGTACCCTTTCAAAAAGTGTAAAAACTTGAAAATAAGAAGCTTTAGGGAAATTAACAAAAATAGTACTCATCGAGGCCGTCCGAAATGGTTATCATCCGAATAAATGTAGTATTTACATATGTATCTATTCAATACATTTACTATTAAATTAAATTCAAAATGATGTAAGAGCTATAAAAACTAAATCATCAATATATGTATATTACATTCAGGTAAAAATTACTATAATTATCTTTAAATAAATCACTAAAAGTTTTTCAAATATTTGGTTGTGATAAAGTAGGCAGCCATTACAGATGTGTCATGTATCACGTGGTACAAAATCAGAATGTTTGATTGGACGAGAAGTTACTGGGGTCTAGAATTAACGTTTGATGTAAATAGCGAGTTACGGGTTTGTGGAATTGGAAATAAACATTTTTATGTTAGTTCTACAACTACATAAGTATGTTCACTGTGAAGAGCTCATTGAGACGAAAAAAATGATATAAAAATCTCAATTTTGCCAAAAATCGAGTTACGGGGTTGTAGAATTAACCCGACGAAGTCGCTTTGGTTTTTTCAAGTTAAGTAAACAGTATATGGGACAGTGATACCTAACATCGTGCTGAAGAAAAGGGTCGCCAACGCCGCTTATATGGATGAGATTTTTATTAGAAGTAAAAATAAGGTCAATTACTGATGAAGATGACTCAGTAAAGTGAGTAGGTGAGTCAATAATTTGATGCAAAGAGAATTGACAACATATTTCTTTAATTTTCTTACAGGAGGAAGTTTGTGCAGCATTTAGATTAAAGTCACCCATAACTAAGATGTTTTCAATTCCAGTATCGATAGCTAAATGCATAGAGTCCAGTATCAAGGCATGACGGGCGTTGTCTATGTTGGGGGTCTATAATAAACTTCAAAAAGTATATGTTTATTTGAAAAAAGAATTTCGATCCAAATGCATTCGGTACTGTTTATTTCTAAATCATGACGTCTTGTGTAGTGGATATAATCCTTAACATAAACTATTACACCGCCATGGTTATCGGTACGATATTTCCTTTCGGGATTAGCAAATGAATGAAGAAGCAGGTCTGACGATGGAATATGTTGGCCTAGCCATGTTTCTGAAAATGAGAGGATATCAAAATCCTTGAGTTCCGAGTAGATGGTGTCAAGTTTTTGAACAATGCTTAAGACGTTGTAATGGACAAACGAAAGGTTCCGAGAAAGATCAATATATTCATTGTCTGAGGAGACAGAAGATACTGATGAAGTACTAAGGACATCAGAATCAGGTCCTGGGTTTTTATGAACATCACCCGACAGAAGAATTATAGTACAAATGTTCCAGGTTTGAACGGACAAGAAAAGCAAAATGATTGAACAGAGAATAGTGAACGAAAAGACAAAGTTGAAATATTGTTTCATACTAGGTGGATGTTTGCGACGAGAGAGGGGCAAAGCTATACTTTTTAATATTAAGTCATGATCACAGATGCACAATCTTATGCTTAGAGGAATATAGCTGAGGTAAGTGAATGTGAATAAAAACTGTTGTAAGAGGAGAAATCTAAACATAAAGCGAATGCGAAACACTCTCTCCGTTGTTGGCGCTGGCCGCTTTATTTTGTTCATGTAATTTCTAATAACAGAAATAGAAATTTAACAGCCACCAACAAGAGAGAAAGAAGTATAGGTATATGCAAAAACAAAATCCAGCATCTTATAAGATCCTCGTTTAATGTTGTGTTCATCCTAGAAAGAAAATTAAGGGAAAAAGAGAACAATGCTAAAAATGGAAACATATGGTATTGAGATGTTGATTGGAAGTATCAATAAGTGCTAGGTAAAATTGCTTAAAAATACCATGAATATGTATGCAGAATATGTAATATTAAATAAATATTTCATGAGTGGCGGTAGCCACGAGTGAAATATGGTAATTTTCATGCCACAAGATGAAAATAAATCATGTATTCATAGAAAAAACTTGAATTTTCTGTTTATTATGTACATTTTTCTCTTTTTTGCGATAAAATTTGAAAAACTTTCCCTTAAATTTTGTGTACTGGTAGAATTTAAAAGAAAGTAGTCCGGCAAGACACCAGTGAAAATACGGAAAATATGTTTCAATGCAGTGAAAAATAAATTTTTACAGTGAAAATACGGAAAATGAAAATACGCATTTTATTTCATCAATATTTCTCAATATTTCATTTATAAGTATATAATAAATATATTTATCATTTTTATATTTTTTGGGGGGATTGAAGGAAATTGATTTTATAGTATATATCAAGAAGTAAAACACATTTGATTTGAAAAAATAATGCATTTGATATTTTTTAAGAGGGTTGTATAGTGGGTATGGGGGGTGTAGTGACCAATCAATGCGCCGAACACCTGTGGCTGTAACCAATGTGTATACCCTTTACCACCAGTATAGAGCCAGGCCAGCATGCACACCCGTGTAGACAAACAAGCCTCTAATCTATTCTCTTGTTATCTTACAGCTACATGCCTCCAGATGAGCCAAAATATTTCTAGAACACTAACCTTGAGAAAAATATGATTTTAAGGAAAGTAAAATTATTAACAATTAAAGAAATAATTTACATGTTTTATGCCATGAACGACTGATGATGTATTTATCACCATATTTCTACTGCGTTACTAACGCAGTAAGGACTACTTTGCAAATTCTGACTTATATTTGGTAAATTTCGTAGATTTTAAATACCCTTTAAAAAAAGTCATAAAAATTAGCATGGACGGGGATTATGATCCCTAAAATTGACAATGGTCTATTCTAAAAATGGAAGCTGAACTAGTACATCCTGGGCTAGTTGTAATATTATATACTAATTAAATCTAATTTTGCAGGTTACTGGTTGATATACGAAAGGTACATTCAGAACTTGTGTGCCTTCTATAAAAGTATTATAGAAACATATCTAAGCTTCATGGAAAAGAAAACTTTAAAGCCTGTTTCTTGACACTCCTCGAGTGTGCGTCCTTGAACTATTAAATGCTGGTGACTCACTCGTGAAGAAAATTATTAGTGACAACAGTGACAACAGTAGGTTTCGAACCCACAACCCATGTTTGTGCAGCGGGCGTTTAAACCACTAAAAGTCATCTCTCCCCTTTGTTTTTGACAGACGCAGACTAGGTATTCACTCCCCTTTCTCTTTAACAGTGAAGTTATATTGAATGATTTAGTAAAAATAGTAATATGTTTGAATTTTTTTCTTGCGAAAATTGACAGTCCTAACAAAAAAATCATATCAAACACAAGAGTAAGGCTAGTGATTTTGATACATGTATACATAACCTGTATGGCACGAAAAAAAGACAGGTACAATTTCCATCTTACCTTGCGTTCTCAAAATCATAAAGTAGACTTGTTTATAAAAGTATATTAAATAATACTTTAAATACAAATCTTTTGCGCAAAACATGAAATAATAATAATAATATAAACATGTACAAACCAAATATTTAATCAATTCCGCTGTATACAAGTTCCTCTCTAGATTTTAAAACCAAAGTTACTATGAAAGTTACATTTTCCGTCAACCTTTGGTATCTAATTTAAAGATGAAACAGTAGTTTGCCATTTAAAAATTGGGACTATTTTTTACGGCGGAGGAGGTTTTTGTTTTCGTCATGCGTGCCCGGAATGATACGCAAAAGGAATCTATTTTCAACACTTTTGCCGGTATCTTGTAATAATATCTTAAACTTAAAATCTGCTGACAAAAAAATGAAAAGCGTCTTTATATTTAACGCCCGCGCAAGGGGCCTTGCGTGTTTTCAGAAAGTTTAATAATGCAGCATCTGGACGATACCTATTTTGAAATGTAAGACTAAAATTTTGATATACAATACTTTCCATTGTTTGACTAATTTGACATTTAGCCAGATTCACGGACTCACTGTTGGATACTTTTCATATTTGATAGCCTATTTACATTAATAAAAGAAAATAAGTTCGCCCACTTAAAAGTAATGGTGGGATATATCATAAAAGACTAAATATAGGTTTCTTTAAGCTAAATTATAGCTCATGTATCAGCTATTTTTGTATCTCATGTATAAGTTTACAAGAAGGCCAGTAAACGGATATAAAAAAAGAAATTTCATGCAAATCAAGAAGAATTAGTTTAAACACAATATGTACTTTATTCATTGTTTTCAACATACCGGACCTCTGTTTTGAATCAGCGTTAAATTTAACGCCGCCGACTTTCCACGTCACTGGGAAATAGCGAGTGTTTTGACAAATGATTGTGGTGGTGGTGGTGGTACTGTCCTAAGATGATAATTTGGTCTTAACGGTACATGGGAAAGTCGAAAAACGGGGTTATCTGGACTATTATCCGATATCGTAAAAGTAAACACTTACATATACTAAATAACATTATTCTTAGAGAATCGTTTGTGTATCATCGTTATGGCTCTGTCGGTAGGTCGGAGTAATTGTAACTATTAGTGTTTTGTACTCATAGGTTCGAACCCCACTTAGTGTCATTTTATAACCACAGTTTTTTTCTTTTTACTCTGTTTTTATCATTATTCTTTATTTATTTTTCGTTTTACTTTTTGTTTTCTTCTTATATTTTATAGTATATATTTATTTCTTTTATTTCCATTCTATTTTCTTTTTGTATCTTTTGATCGCAGTGTTATAAAATATTCGAAATCATATTCATGTATGTATATGAAAAAACATGTCAAACTTGTTTTCTGAACATTTGGCTGTTCTGAGGTAAAAAAAAATATGTCTAACCAGTAGTCGAACTTCTGCCTGTACGGGTAAAACACATTACTGACACGGTTGCTCTACCTACTGCGCTAACAAGTCATATGATAATATGTAGTTTTATTTTCATTTTTATAGGTTGTGGCATTGATCTGCCTAACCTATTTTTCACATTGTTATTGGTCTTTGTTATGTAACAAAGGCTCAAGTTATCATCCTAGGACAGTATTTGTAGTTTTTACTCCGGATACATTGAATTTACCAGAGCGCAGTTCAGCCACCGCACCGTTCCTGGACAAGCTGTCATGAAGTTTACCAGTACAAGTTGCCTTCACTTTCGCAAGGAACTGAAACTACCAGAGCAGAGGTACAGTGCAGATGACTGTAGAAAAGATTTCATGATCAATCACAACAAAAGTGACCTGCACAGTCCGGGAATCGAACTCGGGTCACCCGATTCACAGTCCAACTCTCTACCTATTGAGCTAACCGGACGGCTTCTTTGACAAATGAATTTTTTAAAACCGGTTAAGTACCTGTCATGCAGAGACAGTCAAACAGTAAAAACTCAATCTAACTAAAGTTGAAAGCTTTGTCAAATTGGTAAAATCCTTACTAAATGCCCGTGCACTACTTAGTTTTACAGTGCGGGCCTGCGGGGACATACGAAAGGTGACAAATCGGCTCGATTTGAAATATGATGATTTTCATACCACGGAATGAAAATAAATCCCGTATTAATAGAAAAAGAAATTAATTTACTGTTTATCATAATATTATTTATACCTTTTCTCTTTTTAACCTAATCATTTGAAAGAATTCGCTTTTAATTTTGTGTATTGGCTGGACTTAAAAGAAAGGAGTCCGGCAAAACACAAAAGAAAATACTTAAAATACCCGTAACTGCTGTGAAAAATATTTATTTTTGTAGTGAAAGTTCGGAAAATGAAAACACGCATTTTATTCAAAAATATTTCTCAATATTTCCTTTAGAAGAATATACTAGTAACAAAATACACAAATGTTCAAGATGTGTGGAGTTGGCGGCCCTGCGGCCCAGCGGCGTGAAGTTGGCGGCCTAGCGGCCTAGCGGCGTGAAGTTGGCGGCTTTCACACATCTAAATGTTCAACGTAGTAATAATTCAGGTATTCTTATAAATTTTTTTCGAGAACTCACGTGCATGGTGTCTGTTGATTAAGCCTGGTGCTAAAAAATCTACACATTTGATTGTAAATTTGAGCAACGTTTTCAGAGAGACTCGGTATTTGAAAAAAAAGTAAAAATGGGAATAATTTCTCGTCATTTTTCGTTAATGTCTTAGGCAAAATATTGCCCTACAAACAAAACATAAATTGTAAACAAACTTTAATTTCAACGAAAGGTCACTGTGACATACATTGTAGCCGACATATTTCAACAACATAATTAGTGTGTAGGTTAGTGTGTAGGTTTATTCGGAATATCTTTTACCTATTTTACATGCAAAATAATCGACTGCCCGTGACATAATTATTACTATTGAATTCCATCTGTAAACGAATCTAAATGAAGAAATTTTATACGCCAAAAAATCTGTTTTGGGGAATTTTGATAGTTCGACAAGATGACATTATTTAAATAGCAAGTCATTGAACCGCCTACGCAACAGCGGTGTATGTGGGCGTGTTGTTGGTGGTGGTTGTCTTTGTTCTTTATCAGATACTCACTAATATAATTATGTTACTAACACAATGTTCCCAACCAAACTGAAAATGTTTCGATCTCAAAACAACATAGATTACTTTTAGTATTTTTAATTTTTGTTATTTTTAAGACAATGACCTAATAGTCATGCCCCTTACAGTTATTTTCGTGGTCATGTCATGTAGATCTATTTTCTTACTTTTCATATACTGTACATTCATGTTCTTACATGGCCACATCCCTTACAAACATGTACTTGGTCACGTCCTGTACATTTATGTTCTTGTAATATTCTATACATTATGTTCTTACATTGCCATGTTCCTTACAAACATACACTTGGTCACGTCCTGTACATCTATGTTCTTACTTGTTATACTATGTACATTGATGTACTTACATGGCCAGGTTACTTACAAACATGTCTCTTACTTATAATAGCCTATACAATCATATTCTTACATAACCATGTTCCTTACAAACATGTACTTGATCATATCATATACGTTCCTACTTGAAATATCCTGTACTTTCATGTTCCTATTTGGTCACCTCCCTTATAAACATGTTCATGTATATATACCTTATCATGTCCTGTATATGCATGTTCCCACATAATACACTAAATTTCATCCTATATATCCATGTTCTTACTTAAACTTATCCAGAACGTGACTAGGGCATACTCTTTACAATCATGAATGTCCGATGCAGATGGAAGTATTATACATGTACTATGCTCAAGATGTAGATAAAGTGTGAATTTCAACACCCCATTATGTAATTATAATGATTTTACTTGTATTATGATATTAACATATACAAAGTCTTTTATAACTCTGTAGAGACTGACAATGTGTCTTCTTTTAATTATGCTTAAACACGCTTTTTATTTATGATATGTTGTATATACTGTATCACATTGATGAGACTATAATAAAGAATAAAATAAATAGAATTAAATTAACAAAAATATATCAGTCTTTAATTCATCTAAGTGATTAAAACAACCTTGGATAACACAGAAACATCGACGCACTGAATACAAGTAAAATGTATGCGTTACATGTTTTTGGCATGTTCGGCTATGGTATAAATGCTGCAATGCATGTCATAAAGAAAATATGTAAACTTATATATACAGTCATCGTATATAGAAAATCTTTTAAATATCTCTATAATGAAAACTAAATTAAAATATACAATTAAAACTGAAATTAAACACATAAGACATCCACGTTACAGGACAGTGCTGTATGCTCGACTATGCCATGGTTTGATAGTAAAATTGCAAGGAATATTCCAAATTAATTAGAGAAATACAACAGTAAGAATATATGCTGGAGTTATGCGTCTTGCTAAGATACGGTATAATTATCACCTAAATCACCCTAGTTACCATACCAGCTACTCTCATGGAGCAGGAATTTGCCAAACACGTAATTAAGGGAATGATTCATTAGAAATCTGAGGGTTATATGAGCCGCGTCATGACAAAACCAACATAATGGGTTTGCATTCAGACCAGCCTGCGCATCCGCGCAGTCTGATCAGGATCCATACTGTTTGCTTACAAACCCTATTACAAGTAGAGAAACTGACAGCGAACAGCATGGATCCTAATCAGACTGCGCGGATGCGCAGGCTGGTCTGGATCCATGCTGGTCGCAAACCCATTATGTTGGTTTTGTCCTGACACGGCTCATATGTTTTTGTCACTGACCATACAAATAACAAAGACTATGAAGTGTCAATAAATATACATGTAGACAGAAGTTATTAAGAAAGGAAACTGCACATCAAACCGTAACCAGACGTAGACGCCGGACGGCTCTTCAAAAAGCTGTGCAAACTCATAATATAAAGTTTAATTACAGATATCTATTAACAAAAACAAATAACCAAAGGACGGGAAAACATTTACTAAGTATTCTTTAATTCAACAAAATGATAGTTTATAACATGAAAATGAAATAAAATAAAAAGAAGAAAACAAAAATAGTAAACAAGTAAATACTCAATCAACTCAATTACATCAATAATAAATTTTTACTCCAGGTCAGGGTAACTGACTAAATAGTCTATAAATAGAAAACATAGTGTAAAAGTATGCAAGATTTATTTGCGTCTCACTTTAAGACCTTTAAAACATAGTACATTCATTGGCCAATCACAATTGCTGATATCTGGATTAAATTTTAGAAAGTTTCCACATGATGTCTGGAATTGTTTGCCATTTTTGCATTGGATAAAGTTATGACAATTCGCTTGGTCTGGATAAAGTCCGTCACGACCGTCCGTACATATGTTTCCAAGGCTTTTTAATGCTGAAAATAAAATGTTGAAATTCATGTTATGAATGGCATGAATTTGAATTTTTAATCATGCGGACACTGTAAAGGTCCGGTGGCGATTTTCAACTCCAGGCATAAAAGCGCCTCTCTACCCATTATTTCAGTTACAAACGTCCACATGGCTAAAATGAAAGTAATTAAATCACTTTTAATTAAATGGTTAGATCCTTAATTATCTATTTACTATGTGGATTTAGCTAGTTCAAATAAAATCTAACCATGAAACTTTAAAATTTCGAATAAAACTTTTTAAATCATTTTTTAACATATAAAATAACAGTTTAGATTCCAAAAGAGGCATAATCATTGCATTTTTAAACAATATATATGAATGATAATGTATATTCTAATTTTGACTTGAAAATGCCACTATTCTTGGCATAAATGATACCTGTAAATAACATATATTTATTTGTTAGGAATATTTCTATCATAAAAGATAAGAAGTAATCTAAAGGACCAGTTTTTCGATTGTATTTACTTTCATAAAAAGCGAGACATGTGTCTGAACAGATGATCGACTTTTCCTTCATCAAGGGTTATTTTTATTTGTTTGGGTCGTCAGACCAAATAAATAATGGTAGCGAAATTTCAGACCCTGATGTTCTTATTTGCAAATGCCGAAAGTAGTCCAAACTCCTCGAAGCGGTTATTCCCTCCATATGTACATTAACACCGAAAAATTAAAGGGAGATCACTGCGTAAAGATTGTCAAATGACAGGCGAATTAATTTTCGTTACGAACTGTAATTTAGAATGATATGGTATTTTTCCGGCTGTTATCTGATAATTTCCTGTAGGCTCGCTTTGGAAGCGAGAGGTCTGGAGTTCAAATCCCAGGTCAGGCGACTTTTTTTTAAGCCAAATAAACATGGAATTGAATATCAGTGCAGTGTTGCAATTAGTCTTATAGACAATTTACTATAGTTTCAACACTGAAAACAGCATTGGTGACACTATACAACAAATTATAACCTCATTATATATATTTATAACCTCACAACCTTCACCTTTCTGACATTCTGAGACCCAAACAAATTCAGCGCCTTCTGTGCTTTGATTATAAGAACCGGTATCAAGGGAAACCAATATCATAGTGAAATACACTGAACGTATGTGCCAAGAACGATAAGCGCGGATTACAAGTCAACATTGTATCATTGTGATTATCTACCTTCAAGTTGTATAAATCTACCTTGTTCCAAACCAAATATCATATCATATACTCAAAATCCCATTATTCATGCAATTAGTTTGGCAATGTTTGTTTTTTCCCCAAGCATTAACATGTATTTCCAGAAGCATTTTATTATCTTATCATCTAGAATTTATAATTATTTTTAAACTTTGTAGTTCTTTCAAATAATCATTCATGAATAATTTAGTAGTTATATCAAATGTATCTAACTTACAAAGCAAATAAAGTGTTAAGATTCCCATTTTAAATACATGTATGTTATGCATGTATATATCAAAGTAACTACATCTAAAAATCTGTGTTTAACTCATGTTGCTATGTGCTAATATAAACACAAGTTCAGTCAAACTATGTCAGACTGTGTTTTTAAAGACTCCCTGTCATATGTGACTTTTTTGTAAAATCCCACTGAAGGTCATATATGACAATCTCAACTGTATCTGAACCGGGAGTCCTTAAGCGCGTGTACAATAACAAGAATGGCAAATTGGCAGACTTATTAAATTAACTTAGTATGCACCATATACCAAAATCATACAAAACTAACAGAATACAATAATAAACGTGAAAAAGTACATAATAATATAATGAAATCTATGTACTACAGATGGATAGATCGCCATTCCAGAAAGATTTTTATCTAGATAATTTATCGCAGAAAGACTACTGCACCCGTAATGTCATTTTATTTGGAAAATATTTTACCTCTGCAAGTCTAAGCTAAATTAATGAAAAATATAATCATGTACACAATTATGATATTTACAATTCATAAAATAAAAATGCTACGATATTTTGTCTTTAATTTTAGGTATAAATTTTCTAAGATAACTTCAATCAAAACAAAATTGGCAATTAAGAAAGAACTTATTTACTAATCTTTACTCTTGATTGATTTCTGAATATTACGAGGTTTGTTTAATATATGAAATATTGAACGAATTAATATAATCATAAATGTCAGGGAAATTACCTGAAGGAACAGGGCGAGTGCCACAGTTCACGTTGGCTGCCCAGTCACAGTTCTCCAGAATTGGACTATAGTACAGTCCAGCTGCGCATGTTTTGACAAAGGTCCTGGAGCTACCACAATGGTAGAACTTCCGACAATCTGCTGGATAACTGTACATACCATCTGCTTTGTTCGCACAAAATTCTGAAGAAGAAAACCCCTAACAAATCTATATTTTCTGAAAAGTTAGTAGCTCAATTTCGGTCCGATATCTGATTTGGTAATAATCCCTATTACCTATCATGCAATGCTAATGAAGTAAAAATATGCTCTACATTACATTTTGCTACTTTTATGACAAATAGTTTTACTTTCAGCGCTACTTTGCTCAGGTGATAAACATTTAACATGCTCTTAGCCCATTCTAAAGAAGGAAAAAAGATACTCCATTCTGAGGCATAGTGTGCCTTTAATAAACCATACATACCACTTGTGTCCCCTTCGTCATTACAATCGACATTATCTTTCCAGTCACAGATTTTTGCCTCGGCGTTGAACAGCGTACCAGCGGGGCACTTTACAACTTGTGTTTTTGCGTGCGCACAATTATAATACGATTGACAATCATCTTTCTTCTTATAAAGGCCGTCTGCCTTGTCTTTACAAAATTCTGTATATACATGTAACAATAAACATGCATAGCACAAAAATAGTGACGAAGCAAACTTCGAGGTTGTTTTAAGGTCATGCAGTATCATTCCCAGTTTACTGGTAGAAGAAACGTTTAGCTGCCCTTCATAGATGATATAACTGGACATGCGTTATTAGTTAAAACCTCCAACCCGACGTTATAAATTTTGATAGTTTCCTTACACGACCAAGAATTAAACACCTCTGGCAAGATTCAAACCAACATCTACAAGGACTGAACATTCAACGCTTACCTATCGGCCAAGGTTTCAGAAAACTAAGTTGGGGGAACGTGCCTCAAAAGTATGTTAAAGTTAACTGAAAGGTTAATTACATGTAATTATAACTCGTAGATCCAATAGAAACTAAAATACAACTACACGAAAGCATGCTTAGTAATACTGTTACCAAATTATCATCCTAACATGCACATGAATATTCAAGGTAATGACTATAGATACAAATATCAATTGAGCGGCAAATGCATGACAAATAGAACAAACAGCAAACATATAAGCGCTGTCTATTCATGTAGTAAAATCTGAAATTTTCGAAGTTTTTGAAGATTAAAGAAAGGAAACTTTTTACATTTTTAACAAAAAACAAATTTCCATAAATCATTATTAAATATATATGATTATATGGACAGCTAGCAGTAATATAATTTAAAGCATCACGTCTCAAGATTCTTTCATATCTTGTACGAAACGTTAGAAAGTGTTCCAAATCGTACTGACTGAATCATTGTAAGCGACTTAAATCATATTGCATTGAAAGTGCAAATAAGACGAGCGTCAAATTCAAAATAAAAATATTTTTCGACAGACGATTTTAGGAATGAAAAAGAAAATGGCGTTTCTATCAAATATGACAACCGTGAATAAAACTCTGCCTCATACACGTACTTTAAGTAATAGTTCGATCATATCTAAGTCACAACAAGAACCGGTTGAACAGGGTGATGCTCCCCGAACAGGTTTTGGACACAGGAAAGTATACCTCCAGTAGTATCAGAGTTATGTCACGGTCAAAGTTCAAAGTGTAAAAATGAACAAAGGCAATAACTCCAAAACAAGGCAAGGCAGAGTTATAGTTCTTTTGCACTGCACTTTTATTTAATGAGATCAATCTACCTACAAAGTTTCATGTTAATACCTCTTATGATTTCAGAGTTATGTCCGGACAAAGTTCAAAGTGTAAAAATCAACAAAGGGCAATAACTCCAAAATTAGACAAGACAGAGTTATGATTCTTTTGCACTGCACTTCTAACCAATTAGATCTATCTACCTACAAAGTTTCATGTTGATATATCTTACAGTTTAGAGTTATGTCCGGGACAAAGTTCAAAGTGTAAAAATGAATAAAGGGCAATAACTCCAAAATAAGGCAAGACAGAGTTATGCCGGTAGTTCTTTTGCACTGCACTTCTACCCAATGAGAACTATCTACCTACAAAGTTTCATGTTGATATCTCTTATAGTTTTATTTAGAGTTATGTCCCGGACAAAGTTCAAAATGTTAAAATGAACAAAGGGCAGTTACTCCAAAATTAGGCAGGACATAGTTATTTTTTGCACTGCACTTTTACCCAATGAGATCTATCTACCTACATTGTTTCATGTTGATATCTCCTATAGTTTTAGAGTTCTATCCCGGACAAAGTATAAAGTGTAAAAATGAACAAAGGGCAAAAACTTCAAAATTAGGCAAGACAGAGTTATGGTTCTTTTGCACTGCACTTCTTCTCAATTAGATCTATCTACGGACAAAATTTCATGTTGATACCTCTTCATGTTGATACCTCTCACCCTTCGGGGAGCATAAAAATAATCAAGCATAATTAATAATGCAATCTTGTACCTCCTGGTTCCTTCGTAGTTGGAGAGTCCGTTGGCGGGTTTGTGGTCGCATCGGTAGGTTGGTCTGTAGGTGCATCGGTAGGTTCGTCTGTAGGTGCATCGGTAGTCGGCCCTGATGTTGTTTCAGTAGTAGGATTCGTTTTACTTGTCACGACCCTTAATAGAAAAGTAGGTACAAAAATAAGTGTTGTATCAGTAATTTCTTTTCTATTTTTGCGGTACATTTTTTAAAATCACCCACGTTTCGTAAGCTAGCAGCATATTTTCATCACATGAAGGAATTCATTTTCCTTCCCTGGTAAGATTCGAACTCACAGCAACGAGGGGTAAGTGATTCAAAGTCAACGACATTAACCAATTAGTGCATTTATTCTTGTTGTCTTAAAAACATATTGAATGTATACATCGCACTTTGGGCTTAAATATTCTGGTGTGTTTTGATCCGAAATTCTATCCAAAACAAAAAAATAACGATTAAAAAATAACCCCATATATACTATTAAAAATAGTATGTATATGGGATTTTTTAATCGTTATTTTTTTTTTTTTTTTTTTTTTTTTTTTTTTTTTGGATAAAATTTCGAGTTCCTGTGGATTTGATTATGTGTGTGTGGTTTTGTTTTGCTTTTTTTCAGAGGATGAAGAACACTCAAATAGATGTATATTACGAAAACAAAAATATTAGCTTTTGAAATTTTTGGATCTAGCTTTTTCAATATTGACAACTCATGTAATCCATTATACTCACTGACAGTCCACATTTTGTGGGTAGTCACAGCTCTTTTTATTTTGGTTCCACAACAAGTTATTACCACAAACTGTCCTATATTTGATCTCATCCCAGCAATGGTAATAGGCGGAGCAATCACTCGGGTCAGGATAAAAGCCGTTAGCCCGTCCAATGCATGTGAATTCTATAAAGCAATATTTTATTATGTTAATAATAGAAATGTTTTGGCCTGCAAATAAAAATGAATGTTTGTGTGCTTTAATACTTTTGATCCGACGTTGGAACTCCAACAGTATGCACACAGTTAACCGTTCGTTTCTTAAGTACAGTATCAGAATCTCGTAAGTATAATAGTAATGGATTCAAAAGAAGATCTACGTCCGGTTTGTTCACACATCATGAACGAAACGGGAACAGTCGTAAAGGGCTTCGTAAATGTAATTTTTGTACCGTTGGACTAAATTCTGTCAAAGAGCTCACTTTGAGACTCTGCCGTATTCATATAAGTAAAGAAAAGCACTATGCAATTGAAAAAATAACTTAATGTCAAAGTCTATATTACACCATACTCGTATTATAATTTATATATATATATATAAACTGCAAGTTTGTAACGTCACTTTCTATTGTGTTCAAATGATCTATACATTGTACATATGACTGCTTGCAATATATTTCACAATAAACTTACAACCTTTGATACCGGTCCATATAACCAATTAACATCTGTTTAACTAATAATATAAACATAACCTCCAGGCGGATTTGTTGCTCCCGTAACAACCGTGCTTTTTGTTGTGCCTTCCGTTACCACAGTGCTTGTCTTTTTAGTAGAGACTGGGTTTGAAGTTGTTTTCTCAGTTGTTACTTTAGTTGTACCTGGTTGTTGTGTTGTAACTGGTGGGGTGTATCCCCCTAGAATCTTTTTCATGAGGCGCATTAAGGGATATGGATTTTTTGATAACGGACACTGTCCATTGAAATCGTCCAGGTCAATGTTCCAGACCATTGCACCGCCATATTTTTCCTCTTTTATATACAGTAACTATAAAAACATAATTGAAAGAGTTTTTTAAAGTGTCCACGATTTCAGATTCTTTTGTTGCCAAGTTAAACTAATCGTGCATGGCAATTCAAATAGCATGATGAACATGTCAGCGTGGACGATGAAAAGTAAAAACGATGATGATGATTATGATGGTGATGATGATGGTGATGATGATGATGATGATAATAAACTAAAACAATATCATAATAACTACATATAAACCATTCCCACAAGAAAAAAACTATTTCATGTACTTTTTTTAGACTTAATGGTACATGGGTTTTTTTTCTATTTTTTATGGTAATGGTTTAAAAATAATTTTAATTGCTCCATTTTTATTAAAACTTTTTATTGACCGTTTACAGAGGGAGAGAGTTAACATGCAATTGCAAGGATATATAGAGGATATTTGTTTAGTTCAGTGTAAGATCGGAATATATTTCACCGAGTGAGCACCAAAAGGTATATTTCACGAGTGGCGCAGCCACGAGTGAAATATGAACTTTTGGTGTTCACAAGGTGAAATATATTTCAATCTTACACTAAACTAAACAAATTTTCTTTTTATTATATGCAAAGAAACGTTTTAAAAAGACATTTAACCTAATATTGAATGAAAAGCGCGCCAAATAATAATATAACGTGACGTCATTTACGACGTCACGTCATTAAGTTGGTTCCCAGTACTGTGCACGCTGGTATTTCACTGAAATAACGTAAGGGGCTTAAATTCAAAACAGTGAAATTATCAAAGTGGTAATTTCACTGTTTCAAACAGTGAAATTACCAGTTTTATATCACTGATATATAGAGGATATTTGTTAAGTTCAGTGTAAGATCGGAATATATTTCACCGAGTGAGCACCAAAAGGTATAGTTCACGAGTGGCGCAGCCACGAGTGAAATATGAACTTTTGGTGTTCACGAGGTGAAATATATTTCGATCTTACACTAAACTAAACAAATTTTCTTTTTATTACATGCTAAGAAACGTTTAAAAAGACATTTTATCCTAGTACTAAATGAAAAGCGCGCCAAATTCTAATACAACGTGACGTCATTTACGACGTCACGTCATTAAGCTGGTTTCCAGTACTGTGCACGCTGGTATTTCTCTGAGACAACGTAACGGGCTTAAATTCAAAACAGTGAAATTATCAAATTGATAATTTCACTGTTTGAAACAGTGAAATTACCAGTTTATAAATCACTGATATATTTCTATAATCCATCGAAAAGCATGTAATAAATTTCTATAAACCACCGAAAAGCATGTAATAAAACAACTTCTCAAGCTTGGGTATAGGGTCTAACATCAAGTGTCTGTGTCTAAATTATGAAGACATTGGTACATATAGACTTAAAGATATAAGATAATATTAGGTTAACCTCGTACGGACGGACGGACAGATTGTTCAGATTTGTTATGTCCGGGTCATAATTTTTTAAACATATATTTTCTTTCAAATATCTTATAAGTAGAATAAAAAAAATGAAACCTTCTTTTCGATGCTCTCTTCGTCGTCATATCCGATCCATTGGTCCCCGCTAACAAGATAGGGAACCATCTGTTCTGGTTCCCAGTAACGAGTGGCTCCACCTTTTGACAGTATATCACATATCTGAAATGTTTTCTTCTTCGCTTAACGTGTGATGAATTTGTATAAATAATTTGCCCTGCGTTGAATTTTGAAATCAAAGTTCATGTATACAGTCTGAGCTATCAAAATTATACATGTAGAACTTAAAAAGACTGCGCGGAAGTACAGGCTGACATACTGACGGCAAAGGCTAATAAGTTACGGTTATGGTTTGAGTATCTTATTTTTCTTTTTTATACAACAACTCCACAAAGTTCATTCACATGATCTCTGGATTGTATTAAAATCTACTTTAATTTAAAACAAAAACAAAACAAGTCACACCAGCCAAATAATGTTGTAAATTGCAAGCTATTGTCCACGCCCAATAGCACCGCTTAAGCAGAATTCAACATTTAAACATGAAATTGGTGAAATTTTGAATTTATAAACATCCGAAGCTGTGTTTATACATACCAAGCTTAATTAATAAGGTAAATGGCAAAGTGTATCCATTAAAAGCCAAACAATAATAATATACAGCAGCATATCCAGTTAAAACATCATTTTACGTCTTGAATAGAGAGAATTTCTAATTTCTGACAATGTTAAGTGATCTTATGAAGTAAAAAAGCACGTTACCTCATAATAGGCCAGGAATCCTTTCTCTCTTGTGTAAGGTCCCGCGGTACCACCGGAGCCTACCGCAGCATCGCCCGGCTGGTAGTTATTCGAATTTGCTAATTGGAAGTGACGACCATAGGTAGCTAAACCGATAATCAACTTTTCTTTCGGGGTGCCCTGTTGTACCCAGTACTTTGCAGCCCAATCCTTTGAAAACATCATGTTTTAAATATATAAATAATGAATGTAAAGAGATATAAAAATGTGCAAGCTGAACAAGACAAGAAATGTTTCGTGAAGTTTAACAAGGAGCACACAATAAAGTTTTCAAGAGAAACTTGTAATTCACTGTCAATGTTCGAACTCCTGGTAAAGAGAGGCAGATTATTTAAAGCAAGTAATCGCTCAGTCACTGCGGCCCTAGAACATTTGGGCTATAGTTCTGCAACAAACTCCTGACGGCATGCATATACCAAAGCAATTTGCAAAATTGTTCAGTGACCTTGTTCGACAGATTAGTTTCATTAAGATATCGATATTACCATTTTTTTTCATGAATAAACCTAGTTAATAAACAAAACTCCTATCTTGCTAAATGATCTTACCATATTCAGCAATCTTTGGTTCCCTGTTTCAGACGACCTAGCATACAGAGGGCTGTTAAAGCCCGTAAATGGTTCCCATCCGCCGTGAAGGTCATATGACATAAGGTTGTTAAAATCCAAATATCTATAAATCGCATATTAATAAATAAGTTAATTAGATTATAAGCAATCAAGTAATTAACTTTGATAAAGACACAGGTTAATTCAACTAGCATATTTTTTCATATCATACAATTATTTATATGTTATATGTATACAATAATCTAGTGGCTAAATACAGTGCATTCTTTGAATAACTTACTGGTCAAATAGCAAGAAAATGCCAAAATGACTTTCTGTCTACATTAAATATCGTCATATACTTAAAGATGCATACCTCTAGATTCATACTAATTTTCGTGAAAATTTTATAATGTATTAAAAAGTAGAAAATATCGAGTGAACAAAGAAATTAATATACACATCACAATCTACGAAAATTACCAAAAAAATATGCAAATATAGCCATTACTGTGTTAGCAGCGCAAAAGATACATCGCTAAATAAATATGGTGATAGATACTGCAAAACCAGTCATTGATGGCATATAAAATGTAAATTATTTCTTAATTAAATTGTGAATATTTTAAAATTTCTTAAAATCATTTTTCTCAAGTGTGATTTTTCAGTTTTCCATTTATGCGAAACATACTGTCAGAATTTTCAAATTTAGGTTTTTTTTATTGGACGGAAGCAATTAATGTAAACGTCGCGATTGAGTACGCTTTGAGTAGATACTTTACCTCATTTATTGTTAAATTCTTCTTTTTTCTTTTTGACGTCTTTCTATTTAATACTATGATTAATTAACGCATTTGTAAAAACTATATTTTCTAAATATGATATATCAGCTTACAAACATAAAGTAATAGAAAGAGCACCGAAACACGAGGCTATCTGATTTGTACGAGGGGGCGTAGCCCCCGAGTATTTATCAGATTGCCGAGTGTTTTGGTGTTCTTTCTCTTTTGTATCATAGTCAAACATAAAAACACGTTCCCTGTTGTCACAATATGAAACCCCGGCAAAAATGGACCAATGAACGAACATCTGAATATGATATTTCTGTCGCTTTCCCTTTCTCTGCCGTCACGATATGTATATGTATACGACACTGACACATTTTCAACAGAAAGGTCTCCAAATTATGATACAATCTATATTGCTGTCCTCTATGTAATATATACCTGTTTTTTGTTTTCACTGTGACCTATTTCTTTTATATGTTTACATATTTGATTTGCTCATGTTTTTGTTTATTATACAAACTGAGTGTTATTGTAAATAAAATTGAAAATTGAAGTGTCTGATTGCTTGACTGATATATGTAACACATAATAATGTAACAACTGTAAAGCTAAATTTGACCAGCAAGTAGTGAAATTGAAATAAGCGCAATAAGTAATATACGATATACATGTACATGTATAAAAATTATTTTATATAAACTTACTTCGCCATGTTTGGAATGTCGTACGCAACATCAATGTTGTCTTTCCCAGCGGCTACGGCGGCTGTTAACAACAGACGTGGCTTTACTGAATCCTTGTTGAACTCCTCAAGACAGTCCTGTCAGGTTAAGAATTATTGTATTAGGGATAATTAATTAACCAGTAAATGCTGTTTCGATAAATGCCTACTTTAATCAAACGGGATATCATGTAAGATGGTTCCGATTAAATCAAAAGTACCATAAAGAATTTGAAAAATTGAACCATCTCATTGGACAAATATAATTTCAACTACTAAACGTTGTTTGCAGTTTCTTCAAACAGGATAATCTTTTTTCTTTGACGCTCCTAAATGTTGTGACAGGCAAATTTCATGTGGAGTTCTGCACTAAATACACTAAGATAAAGCTGACAAAGATTAGTGTCAATGTAGGATACTGTAATGATAAAGGCAATGAAAAACATAAAGTATTGATTTCACATCAACCATTATACCAGTATCCAAAACAACTATACGAGCCGAGATGTCAAAGAAGAAAATATATAATTACCGTAGATTCTACTACAAATTTTGCCTTTCCCCATTTACAAAATATTTTCATTCTTTCAGATTTCAGGAAATTCTTGAGATAGAAATATACCAACATTTGTTGGGATGACTTTGTTTCCGTTCAAAAGATCGGTTATTTTCTACAAGTTTTGTCTTTGTCCTTACCTTATCTTATACAAAATCAACAGCAATTGATTTCGTTCATAGCGTTAAAATCAACAAATTTAATTTTTGATGTTGTTTCTTGACATAGTCTACAAAGGCGTTAAGACGGCAATAGAGATAATGGTTTTATGATGTAATGCTTTCTTACTTGCTATAACATTATCAGATGGTGAATCCGTTATCAAGTACTATCGATACCATACAAGGAGACTTTGTAAATGTGGAGAATGAGATAAGAAGAAATTGTACCTTTATCAATTCAATAAAGTTCACTTTGTCTTCTGAACGCCCTCCTCTCAACGCGGGGTATTCCCAGTCAAGGTCAAGGCCATCGAAACCATATTTTCTCAAGAAGTCTACAGACGTACGTGCAAACTTTTTCCGGAGAGTGACGTCATATACCATGTCCGAGTATACCTTGCTGCCGGCGTTCCAACCACCTGTTGCGAGCAGTGTCTTAAGGTTTGGGTTCAAGGCTTTTAAACTTGTAGGGTCATTCTTGTCGTTACATTGGGCATACCTATTATATTAAATGTATCTTTGATAATATGTAGAGAAACAAAAGACGTGTGATAAGATTTGTTGTACTTAGATTATACACACCGATGTAAATAATAGACATATAGAGGCAAACGATGACACATCGTTCTTTGTGTTCCTAACCTTTCTACTGCCGTAACGACTAGCTATTTCAACCAGTATACAGTCAGGCCAGCTCTATGTAAAAGGGCTCGCCCGGCTCTATACTTGTAGTTTTGGGTTGGTTTTTACGTCGCAGTGCATACAACTTTTTTCAGCTTTTATGATGGTGTGCAAAACCGTGTAATATTGCAGGCATGAACGGGCAAATGACGATTCGTAAGTTAAGCTAGCTGGATAGCTTCCTCACGTAAAATAGATCAAGTCCGGTATTCGAACACACTAGAGTGAGGGTCCCTAAAACGATAATGATAATGGACATTTTTAAAATGAAAAATAGATAAGTCCATGTAAGAAATGCAGCAGGTTCTGTTGGTCTCTCAGTGCATCGTTTTCTGCTGTGCCTTAAATTGTGTTTATTGAAAATCATTATATCAAACATGAACATACAGATTTTGTTTTAATTGTATTTGTCATATGGATATAAACGGATGTTTCTTTGTACAATATACTTACAGTTTATCATCATTCCATTCATAAAACGTCAGTTCAGATTTATAATCTAGTTTAGCAAACGAGTAGATCACGTGGGTACATAGGAACGGATCTATATCCTTTGGGAAAAACTTGCCCCGTCCAGGACGATATTGTGACCAGTTGGAATAGTAACACACTCGGATACTGTCTGAAATTTTAAAAAGGAATACATTAGATTTACAACATTGCTAAAAACTCAGTCTTCTACTATAAGCTTCCACTATGGTGGCTGATTTGATACACTTTACGCGTTGTCGCACTGTCGTCTTGTCGTCCTGTCGCTAGCAAAGCACTCCAAACCGCGTTGTCGTGCGGCGCATTATCGCCATGTCGCCATGTCGCTTGACTTATTTATATACAAATAACCAATCCTTCGATTTGAGCCGAGAGACAATGTGACATCGCCGTTTGGCGCCTTGTCTTGCTGTCGCTAGCGACAACACGACGCACAATGGTTTTCCCAATCAGCCACCATATTTCACAGAACGAAGTCATACATTCTTTCAATGCAGGCATGAAATAATTACCGGGCTGTAAATAGAGTCAAGTATGGCCATTACAAAGTCCCGATTATTTTGCGATTGTAAATAATAAAAACTTGTAGTAGCTATTTTGATAAACATTTATGTCAAGCTTAAAAATTCGAGTAAGGCTATGCTCCATTTAGAATAACAATTATTTCCACAAAATACGAACACATCTCTGAAGCTGTTGTTTTGGAAATTGCTAAATGACTATTTTTGATAAATTAGAAAAAATAAATGGTAACCGTGATTATAAAGCTGAAACATTATTTTTCATAATATGAAAATGAAAGTTTTTCATTATACTCGTATGATTATATAACAATCCATGTCAAACTTCCAGATTTATTAGTGGAAGAACACCTAAGAGAAGAAAAGTTTATTGTAAAAAAGGGATAAAGGGATCACTTCTCCGTCGTCTGTCAGTCAACAAAATTGTCCGAACATCTCACTTCTGGAGAAATTTCTTCCGAACTTTACAGAAATGATCACTACTAACTTACTAAGTCACGCCTGGTAAATGATAGAGCTACTTCTTTCAGAGGTATATGGTAAATCGCTCTATCGCTACTTCCGAGCTAGTACATGTCGCTAAAATCAAGTGTAAAGTGTTTTCATATTTTATATATTTTGTAAACTCTAAACCAAATACCGAAATTCGGAGAATGCTATGCCATGTAGATTTGATTAAAGTTTCCAGAAAACGTAAAGTTGTTATAATTGTGTTTGAAATGTAGTTATGGCGGCGTTTCCCAGTTAGCGAATTCAGCGTTGAAATGGACCGTTTCATCATGAAACAGAATAGCTTCCCTCCACTTTTCATCAAAACAGCGATTCAGATTAAAAACAAATACATTTAAAGTAGAGATAAGGCATAGAAATGAAATAAGATTGAAATCAGATCAAAACATTAGTTAATAAAGAAAATATAGGATATTTGTTCTTGGAGACAGCTCTGTCGTGAAGGATGTAGTCATGTCGCTAAGGAGATAGCTCTATGGTTACGTACAAAGTGTCTGATTGTTTGTGTATATTTTAATCATTATATTAATCTCGGCACAAAATTTAATAATACTTAATTAATACAATATTATACTAATGTAATTACTATACATTTATTTATCATGACATAATTTGCATAATAAAACATTAACATTTACAGCGTTCAAATTGTGTTCGACTCATTTTTTTTCACTGTACACAACTTTTACTTTGTATATGTGATAAACAGCATACTGTAGTATCTATACTTGTGTTGTATTAAATGAAGTATTGAACCTGCGCTCATTCAATATCCCTTTTAGTTTATACATATATACTCACTTTTTCAAATTTACATTTAGAACTTAACTTAAAAAATACATGTTAAGATTTTAACTTTTTGTACAGAACTTCAAAACATAAACATAGTAAATATTGTTCGTTTCAGATGACTACATTTACATCGTGTATATCAAGACACCAGTAGTTTTGCTAATATGTCGGATCCAACTAATATCAAAATCCATACATGTAATACATGTATATACGATATTGTATTTTAAGATACGACGAAATTCAAAAGTCATATCGAAATTCTCACGAATGATCTTGAAAATAAACATTGTCATGGAAATATTTCTGATGATGTTTAAAGAATAATGTCAGCAACCGTATACGCTAATTCACTTCAGTTTCATGTACAATAGAGATATTAGTTCATTTTCTTTCCATGGTGCTCGTTTCGGCCACAGAATTGCACAATTCTACAATACTTTTTCACAATGCCTGCGTTATTTGCACCACACTGCGTTACTAGATATTTAAGGTGTTTAACAGAAAAAAGGACGAGATGGAAACAATGTAGATACTAGTACGTTAGCTAAAATGGCAACTCACTGGGCATTTTGAATAGAGCACAAAAAATATTCTCAGAAACATTAAAAACAAGTACACCAAAAGCTCAATAAATATTTCTTGTCGCAACTATCGCATTCATATTTCCATTTCTTTCTTCATAATTATACCCGTTGTATCAACATCCTTAAGATCTTTTTCACCGAAAACCTTTTACATTCTTTGCCCATATCATTTTTGGTCCCCTTTGAAACCATAGAGCTATCTCCTTAGCGACATGACTACCTCCTTCACGACAGAGCTGTCTCCAAGAACAAATATCCTATATTTTCTTTATTAACTAATGTTTTGATCTGATTTCAATCTTATTTTATTTATAGACCTAATATCTTCTTGAAACGTATTTGCTTTTAACCTGAATCGCTTTTAGATGAAAATTGGAGGAACAATAATTTGTTTCATGATGAAAAGGTCCATTTCAACGCTGAATTCGCTAACTGGGAAACGCCGCCACAACTACATTTCAAACACAATTATAACAACTTTACGCTTTCTGGAAACTTTAATTAAATCTACATGGCATTATCCGCATAGCATTCTCCGAATTTCGATATTTGGTTTAGAGTTTACAAAATATATATAAAAAAAATGAAAACACTTTACACTTGATTTTAGCGACATGCACTAGCTCGGAAGTAGCGATAGAGCGATTTACCATACATGTATACCTCTGAAAGAAGTAGCTCTATCATTTACCAGGCGTGTAAGTCTAGTTGTGCATATCGTCGGCATTTATCGGTTCAATGATTTTTGTAAAACTTATTGCCTTTTTATGATTTTTATTTTTAAAGTCTGTCAGGACTACTCTTCTTATACCACTACTTCAATTTCGATGAAACTTTAAAGGATTGATCTGTAACTCAAGTACTTGTGCATTTTTCAACAGTTGAATATGTCCGTTCCTCGCTGGCTTCAACTTCAAGCCATTCGGGAACAGATGGTTATTAATCATAGACATTAACATGGTGTTCAGGGCACAAACGCCCTGGGACAAGGTACAAGTTTGCCAGAAAATGATTATCACCATTGTGCTTTCGTCAGATCATACTGTCGAGATTCGCGATATTTTCTCTTGTATGACATAAAACTCAATAAAAAATACATGAGTTGCTACATATATTTTTCAAAAACCACAAAATTGTGATTTGTAAAATGCTAATAAAATCTATTCTCTTTATTGATTTGTAAAATTTTGAATTGCTCATAGATTAAAGGACAATAGCACTATAAACATGTCAGTTTTTTTAAATTTTATTTTGTTTAGTAAGCATAAAGTGCAGTGAAAATAACTCACCATTCGCCAGAACAGCCACAGCTAAAGATGTCAAAATTGCCGCTATGAGCAACCTAGCCATATTTCACAATGTTGTCGTTGTTTTTGTTGCTTTCTCTGAAACAGTAATAACATATTATGCTTATGTCATGTGTAATAATACAATACAAAAATACAAAAAACTTTATTGCGAATAAAACATTATTACAATGTTTATAGCAAATCAAAACATATATACATTTCATGAAAATGAGATCTGACATGGAATAATGTACTCAACCGTAGGGAACGCACGCAAACCTCGAGAAAATTGATATAATGAACAGGTGAGAATAGGTTGTATGATAAATATGTTGTCACGAGGTGGCCGACACGTGAAAGTTTGTGTAAGGATGCAAGAGCTAAAACTTCGACAGTACTGAAGGCCGCTTTAAAACCAAATCTCAATAAATGTTTCACTAATTGTTAGAATGTTAATCATCGTTTTACAGCCGAATTTCGGGTATTTTGGGTCCGTTTAATACCACTATTAACAACGAACAACCCATTGAATGTTAAGTAAATTATGTGATATCCAATTTTGTATTATTCTTATTTTCAATTAGCTCCATTGTGTCAAGTAGGCGCATTAAAGCATCTTAAGCATTATATTTTGCTTTTATAAATATACATAATATATATATTTCTGTTATGGAAATATTTAGACTATTCGAAACACATTCCAGCTTGTTTTCAAAATTACCCGGTGAATGAAGTATTTTTTTACCTCTTTCAAAAGTACATCCGGGTTTGAAAGTGGCGACTTATATGTAGACGCGTTCTTTTATATATTTTAGAAAATTCTGCCAACAAACATCCGGGTACTCTGACGAATCATTGGAATGGAAGTCCACGTGGTCAGCTGTGTTTCATGGCCCACGTCAAAATTGCTTTATACTAATTAGTTATTGATGTATCATTTGAACTGCGGACTCATCTTATCTCTTATAGCCTCTGTCATAAAGCCGCTAGCTAAATATGTAAAACTGTCGACAAAATATCCTGTATTATTGAAAATATGCTTCTGAGAGATGAACCTGATATGGTCTTATGATAATTATTATCTGTTGTCTTCGGTTGATGGTAATCAACCTTGTACAGCTGCATGCCTGTTTATATAAGCCGACCTTGAATCATTTTATATTTCCTTTAGCATTATTTTAAAATGATTGTCTTCCTTCGGGGTCTTTCAAATTGTTGACAGATGACACCTCATCGCAATTAAGTATTAGTCCAGGTTCATGTAAAAACAATTACCAAGCGAACTGACACGCTTTTGAAACGAGTTGTCGGGCTTCTTTTGGTGCCAATGCACGAAATAATGTGCACAAGTCCGATATCAACGGAATGAAGAAATTTGTTTTAGTTTTATTAGTGTATTCCATAATTTGCACAGGCTATAAGCGGTTATACATGTATATATGCACGAGATTAGCCGGCAATGGTCAATGGTTATACATACACGGGCTATAAGCTGGTAATGGTGATTTTTTACATGCACGGGCTGCACGATTCTTTATTCTTGGGTTAATGAAATTGTTCAACAATATTCAATTGTTGTTTTTGGGTTATTTTTTGTTGTTATTTTTTTCATATCGTAAGAGTATTATATAGATTAAGTCAGTCAAATAAGATTTCTTGTTTGTTTATGTTGTAGTTGTTGTAATTGTTGAACTTGTCCAGAGTGAATTTCAACTTAAACACATGTCCGTATCCCTCCAGGGGATTGAACTTGTATGCCGACAAAGTCGATGTAACAGATCTAGATATTGACGATAAGTATGACCAACAGTCGCCCATGTTATAACTAGTGAAACTAATTAATGTCAGAGATAAACAACTTTAACTAAACACTCTCTGAACGGTTGATAAACTACTTCCTATAGCGCCGTGAAAATGTCCCACGGACAACATATAGTGGCTTTGCAGAATTTTCTGTTTGAAAATTATAGTAATTTGAACAGATCGCATGTACCATCCGTGTTTTGTTTTTCTTACATGTTTGAATTTTTGCTAATATTTCAAAAGAATTGCGGAGAGAAAAATTTAAATTGTTTGAACTTGCTCGAGTACTGTTAATTAAAGTTGAAGCTGTTAATTTGTTAAAAATCGTTTAAGGACTTTGTCGAGAAAAGTCCCAAAGCTGTTTTACATGATTTTTGGTTGTAACGAACTGTGTGTCAGAAGTGAGCTAGATTAGCCTTTTTATGCATATAGAATAGAGAACCCGACTTGAAAAAAAAATCACTTAGAAATGTCCCGAAAAAAGCTGATTGATCAGAAATTACTCAATTCAGCAGGTTAAATTATCTTATCTATGTTTATTTCATGTCTTCTGTTTTAAATTAGCATTGTTTAACAGGAATCAGATGATATGCTGATGAATGAATGAGAATGAATGAATGAATGAATGAATGAATGAATGAATGAATGAATGAATGAATGAATGAATGAATGAATGAATGAATGAATGAATGAATGAATGAATGAATGAATGAATGAACTATAAAGCTTACCTTTTTATGTGTTTGACGTTACTCCTTTCAAACAAGGTAGAAAGAAAAAAGGAAAAAGAAAAACGAAACAACAGTGCAAATAGAACTAAAATTACAAATATCCGGGTAGATGTTAACAAAGACTTTGACAGATGATTTTAAACAGCTAGTGGTTTGTTTCAAGTAATAATTAAAAGTATCGACGCACGGTTTTAGTTATGGCCTGTGGTCATTACATCACACGGTCAGTTTAACTGTGGTTTGGCCTCGGACATTTTGATTCTAACCATCGTCCTTTTCTGGTATATTTTGCTTATATAGAAAGTGTCCCTTTCAACGATAAAATAGGCGCATATATAAGAGCCTCATATGACATGGAGTTTTTGTTAGAAACAGACTCTGTCTTGGTGATAATTTTATTATAGAGTTTCTCATTTGCAACTTTTCTCAAGAAACTTTTGTTTTCCACGATGCGTCTTTCTAGAGTTATTGAACAGAATCCCTTTTTTGCATGTTGTAAACATTCATGAGTATTTTGACATAATGATATAGAAGTAGGAGAAGAAGAAGAAGAAGAAGAAGAAGAAGAAGAAGGAGAAATAGAAGAAGAAGAAGAAGAAGAAGAAGAAGAAGAAGAAGAAGAAAAAGAAGAAGAAGTAGAAGAAGAAGAAGAAGAAGGAGAAGAAGAAGGAGAAGAAGAAGAATTCTTTATTTCAAAATCTACGTATGAACAACAACAGTCTGGTTTAAGCTAATAAGCACTTGGCCTAACAGAAATTTAAATACAACATATCAACACAATACAATACAATTCAATACAATACAGTAACAATACAATACAATACAATGACGGGCATTGAATAATAAAGTTATTCACTATAACATATATCAGTTACATTTGAATTTATATAAAACATTTCTCGCGTATGGACACGTGCACATGAACATAATGTAACATAATGCCTTGTTGCTACTACTAAATTTCCATAGAATGACAGTTCATTAAAATTGTAATTTATGTCATATATAGAAATGTCAAATATAATAAGTGCACATGTATGAGTTTTTTGTATTTCTCAATTTAACAAGAGCGTAAGGGAAATCAAAAAAGTTATAATATGAATATATGTTGTACACCTTTAAATGAAAGTAATCTGTTAATTTTAATGTCTTGATGTACAGTACAAATCGTGTTATATATTTTCTTTTATTCATTTTTTCGATATAAAATTGGACCGCCCCCACAATGCCTTTACCACGTGACCTTGGAATTTCTGACTGTTATAACATATGTTTTCACTTAATTAAAAATACTGATTTTTTTCACCAAAGAAACATTTTCTACATTGATTATGCGGTAGAATAAGCAGGCTTGATCCAGTAAAAATTATAAAACTGTTAAAGGGACTCCACTGAGTTTTTTTTACATGAAGGGACTGGAAATATTTTTGAAGACTTGTGAACCATTTGATGTAGGTCTAGACGTAAAACTTCTGTGCAAATTTCAGATCATTCACTCACTCCGTTTTCCTAAAATAGTTATTTTTATTGTGTAAAAATGGCAAAAAAGCGTTGTTCCCTCAAATCATGCTAAACTCGTGTAAATAATAGATTTCCAATTTGAATCTGAGTAGATCTATATTTCTTTATTATCTTTTGGAGATTCTTTCATTTTATATAAAATTGATCTATGCAAGAATTTCAAATTTTATGTTTTAAGGCTTTATTTTTCTCAGTGGAGCTCCTTTAAAGAAGTTATATAGAGGATATTAAATGAGTGTAAGTTCGATCAATACTGAATTTATTGCAGAGTTGAATAAAATTATATTATGCGAGCCTCTGGCGAGCATAATATATTTTTATTCAACGAGTGCAATAAATTCAGAAATGAACTTACACGAATTTAGTATTCTATTTATCGCATACCAAAAATAAAGACCGTTTAAAGTGAAATAAGAGTCATTTTTTGACGCGCCTACAGTATAACGCTAACATTTAATATAAAGCGCGTCTTTACACTATGTTTGTATAACGCTAATGACGTCACGTCAAAATATATGCACGGCCGTGCAATACCATATTTACGGAGTCGCAAAATCGGCACAATCGGATGTGTGATAAACTTGTTTATTTTAAAAACTGATTTATTTGTAAGTTTCAATTTTTCCCGGAGGCGAAAAATCCATTTCGCGAAATGGAGTTTACCATTCGCGAAATGATGTTTACCAGTTCGTGAAATTGAAAAGCAATCGAGTTTGCGTAACAAAAAAAACAAAAAAACGTGTAGTTTGTTATTGAAAGTCAAACTGAAAAAAGGTGTTTTTGAGCTTCTTGATCGGTTGTTTCGCTCGAAAAGATGTTATGAGTTAAGGAGTGCTATGAGGTAAACGATAAATAATTGATTCTATTGCTGACAATACGATTTTGATAGAAAAATCATGTTTGGAATACGTTTTCGCGACGTTCGAGTTCTGTCATCGAAATTGTCGATTGCACGTGCACAAACTGTTTGTAATTGTATGTGCATTAATGATCATATCAGTAGGCGATATAGTAGTAGCAAAAGAGACAAAAGTCCAATTCGGAAGCCTGGTAAATTACATGCTACCAAAAACTTAAAATTACATGCCAAACCAAGAAGAGTTTCTCCATCTTCTGGCTTGAAACGTCCCACCATCAAAGAACGAATTAAAAAGCCTACAGAGGATAAAACTTTGTTTGCACCATTAACAGTTGATCCAGTATTAAAAAGTGGAGAAAATGAAGATATAGGAACAGAATTAGCCGGGAAACTGACAAAAGGTACAAATTAAGATATCTAAATTCAGCTATCGTCAATTGCCCTAACTTCAACAGACACTTGGAGTATGGACCCGCCCTTATCTGCCCCTGAATATTAAAAACTAAAAGTATTGTTTATTACAAGAATTAGTTTTAAATTTGTGCTTATATTAGTATGAGACGGTTAAGTGTCTAACACGTGAACAAGTTTGAATAGAATTTCATAACGTTTTAAAAAAGTCAATTTTTTACCAACGCTTCAATATCCTGAAGATACCAAGCTTCGAAATGTAAACACAACTGACCTACATATGTTTCATGTATTTATGTTATCGCATGTCATTTATTTCTAGTGTAAATCAGTCTATGCATATATTCCTTTAATAAACAAATGCATGTTATTATCAGATCGCACCTTTCTTCCAAGCTTTGCACATTTAATTACATTTTCCTAACCGTGTCGCATGCTTCTTTATGAATTCATGACGACTGGAATGTTTCCCGTAAATAACAGCGGGAAAATCGCTGGGAAAAAGAAATTCAATTGCAACTACTCGGCCCTATCCGTCAGTCTTCTTGACTTGGTTTCTGTACTGATTAGGGGAAGTAACCGCTGCGGGGTTTTGGTTCTCGGCATGAAAATGAAAGCGCAAAACAGTGCCGAAACTCATTCCAGTCGTCTCACATCAAAGGAAAGCGTACGTTGTTATCTTTATGAAATTATGATATTTTAGGGACTTTTTTAAACGTGGTTAAAATAGCGGAAAACAAGTTTTATGTTCAAGACATGTGACCAGGTCGTAATAATATGCAAAAATATTTTGACGTACGGTTTGCACGATAAAAATAGGCATGGTGTATACAAGTGCGGATCAAGAAGGGGAGCCACGCACATAACCCCAAGTGTCTGTGCTAAATTCGACCCAGTCCTGGAATAGATGTCCTAGAGTCCAAAACATTTTTGTTTTAACTTTATGTAACAAAGTCTTGTCAATTGTTTCTTAAGAAAGAAAACTATAGAATATTTCTTAACATCAAAGTGAATTTAATGTATCTGCAAAATTTCTTCAGCATGTTAAAGAAAGCATGTGGCAGGCGCCCTTTGTGAATTTAGATAGTTCTTTGTTTAAAATTTTGCTTGCATCATTATTTTGTTACATTAATCTTTCATAAAACTACTGATTGTATTCACTTGAAACCTGATTCATGCTTTTTGAATTAGAATTCATGGTCACTTACCAGAATTCATGGTCACTTACCAAGATTCATAACTTGTGCGTAGATTTTGAATGAAATAAGGCCCTTTGTGAACTTTATAAAATTCTTTGGTGTACAATATTCAGTATTTAATGTCATGTACCGATTTGGTAATTCTTACCTTATCCAGGCTGTTATTTTAGTCAAGTTGTCGAGCATGCTGTCCTATCGACAGCTATTGTTCATATTATACTATAACTGACAAATTGTTGTTTTTAATTATAGAGGAAAAGGCACAGATTATAAAGTCTTTTTATATGGATAACTCATTGGGTTTGCTTGCCAGCCAACATAGAATAGAAGGTAAACAGTTTAACCCTATAACTTGAATTTATATAATGAAATTTTTCCTGTTTTGAATTTGGTAGTCATTGGATAAGTAATACAGCAGTTTAATCCCCCTGAGAGGTATAATTTCTCTATGACAGTTGATCAAAGTTGGTCATTTTGTCTTACTGCTGATTCAGTATTTGTGTTGGATTAGTTGTCAGTCACTTGCCATGATTACTGGTCAGTTTTCTATGAAAGCCAGGTTGGTTGTTCCACTGCAGAGATATAATAAAAATTGTAAAAAAAAACCCAGAAAAACAAAACAAACATGTATGCATGTGTAAATGTTGTGTACAGCTGACTTCTACTGTGTTGTGACATAAAACAAAACCAAAAATACCATAAGGAGCAAAAAGCAATAATAATAATTTTCATATGCATGCCTACAATATAGAAATACATTGTTATTTGTGTGTTTTCCCATTCTTCTTGATATATAAGGCATACAGAGAATACAAAGTGTTTATGTCAATCAGAATTCAGAAATTTATTTGCAATTTTTGTAATACTCTCTGTAATAGTTTTCCAATATTCTGATAATATTGTTGATTTATGCTCGTGTCAAGGATGTTTTTTACACGCCTTTTTGTTATTCTGTTGCTTTTTTACAGGAGAGATTTTTGAGTCAGCCATGACGTCTTTTAGAAAGTACTGTGTCAATTCAACACAACTCCCTGTAGAGCTGCATATAGTATTCAGAGATCTTGTAGAGAAGCATGGTAAAAAAAGTTGTCTTAAAGATCCTGTAACTCAATATTTTTATGGTTTTATATCATGAATATAATCTCAAATGAAGATTTATCAATATTGTAAGTTCCAAAAAACATTATTTGTAAATATATTACCGAATTTACATTTATGTTAATAAAGGGAGGTAATTAGAAATTTATTTTCTATAAAGTCTAAGTCAAATTATGATTACATATAATGTGAACAAATATTTGCAGTACATATTTTACATATTCTTTGATGTTTGAAAATTGTTTAAGAAGTATAAGAAAGTATAATTATATACATATATAAAATTTCACGTAAGTGTGGTACAACATACAGGATCTTTATCAATTTTAACTGGTACAGATATTGGTAACTGAAAATCGATTAAAAAATAATACCCAGTAAGAGAATTCCTCTTAGAGAACCTTCTGTCTGGTAGAAAATGTTTAAATGAAAAATAGTTATGTGAGCCTTTTAGTTTATACAAATTTATTTTAGTTTGATTATGTTGGAAGCAATAAGCTTATTGAAACACTCAAGAATCCTTTCCTGGAACCAACCAGTACTAAGCAATGAATGTAAAAATTCTTGCTCAAAGAAACAACGGCTTGCCCCTGAAATATTTGAACCCAGGCGGTCAGCAATCCTTGAATAACTAGTCTGATGTATTAACCACTGTTTACTATGTGTGAGCCTTTTATCAAATGAATTTAAAGTGATCCTTGGAAAATTTCTAGTTTTGTAATTGAAAACAAATCACACTTTTCATGCAATTTTTACTTAATTTCAAATAAAAAATATAACACTTCTTGCACTGGCAATGATAGTTAATATTAGCAAGTTAATATCTTTAGATTATTCACAGAGTTCCAAAAAAAATGTTTTCTTTTATTTATAAGCTGGTGAGAATTGTATTGTCTAATGTTTTTAGATTCAACCCAGAGTGTTTAATGAATAAAACTTTGAAATAGTAGATTTAATGCTTAGCATTAACAATATCATTTCTTTGAAATCCAAAAAATCAAATATATTTTTAAGGCTGGCCAAATTGTAATATTACAAATAAAGGTAGTATACATGAAATTGATGAAATGTTTATTATTATATAAAAAAATTATACAAAGAATTTTCCTTTACTGTTGAGAATGATTATTTATAAAGCATTTATACATGTTTTTTGTAGGTCATGTTTCAGATTTGTTTCCATTCTTCTTGGAACATACAAAGATCGTATTTCCTCACCTTGATTGTATAGAGGACCTTCAAAAAATTAGTGATCTAACAGAACCTAGTGCATGGTAAGCAGACATATTTTATGATAAGTAGCCTGTTTGTATGTTTTGTTATCCCCTGCCGATGGAATAGGGAGGGAGATATTGTTTTGGCGTTGTCTGTCCAAATTATATTTCTGCACTATTTCTCTGCCACTTCTGGTTGGAATTCAACTATACTTGATGGGAACCATCAGTACCAGGGTAGATGGGCATATCTTTGCCTTGTTCCAGTCAGACCTATCAAGTCAGAGTTATGGCCCTTGATTAGTTGTGCAGTATGCATATAGAGCAATATTGCTGGATTTATTTCAACAAGACAATACAAAAAGGAAATTTGCATGCCATGATAAATATATAAATAAAGCCTTATGTCTCCAGTTATTGTGTTAGTTATAACCAGTACTCGGTGGGCGATATAAATTTAACAAATTTGCTTGTTAATTCTGCTTTAACCCTCACCATATCATAAATGGACTGGTCCATCTTTCAGCCTGGACAAAACCATTCATCGTTTTTAGGGGAAAATTTCAAAATAAGTCCTGAGTAGAGAACAATGCATGATTGTGCTGCCTGATCTATATCTACAGTGGTTGTATGGGTTGCTGCAGGGTTGAGGTTAAAATTTTTCAAAGAAGTATTTTTTAGATGACACCTTTGGGTTTTTTTTACCGGTTTCTTGAATAACTTATGGAGAGCATATAATTATGTAATGTAAAGATTATAACATTTTAAGAATTCTGAGCCAGTATTGTCTTTATGGCTTCAAATGGACAACTTTTTATGATATTTAAACATCTTGTACACAAATTGTTCTATTTTTTCTAAGTAGAAAAAATTATGATTTTTGCATTGTGATCCGAAACAGATGCTAACTTGGCCTGACATGTGAGTAGCAACATGTTTCAACTTTGGCAAGTCATATTTGTTGCTGCATTTTTAGAGGTGTTCAAGTTTTTAGAACAAGTTACAAGGGAGTTTAAATCCAGAATGATGTAGCATTTTACAGTTATGTTTGATACATTGTACTTATAGAATGCTTTGTCAATTTTAGCATAATTTAAACCATGCTGTCCATCTTATCACCAAAAATTTATTGTTAATATGATTACAAGTGTTGTTTTGTCTTGTTTTTGGTTGCACATCTTATATTTTGATGCAGGTATCCTTTAGCCAGATCTATACAAAGGAAAATTATATTTCACGCAGGACCTACCAACAGTGGAAAAACATACCATGCATTGAAGCGTTTTATGGAGTCCAAGTCAGGGGTATACTGTGGACCTCTTAGGCTGCTTGCTATGGAAGTCTATGACAAATGTAGAGATGCTGTGAGTGTTTAAGGTTTCATTCAAATGAACCTTTCCAGTTTTTCATAGCGGAACATTTAGCCACACCTTTTCCATTCATTGCTAGGTCAACTGCTCACAAACAGTATCACAAACATAATCACATGTTCTTTCTGGTGCAAACCAGGTCAACCATTGACTATGTATTATCTCAGTGTAGCAATTGGATAACAAGTTAGCCAATTTACATAAAACTTTAAACACCGGAAAGGTCCATTGTTAAACTGTGCTGAAATGTGCTCCAATCTATGCTTCTGTTATTGCCTAGTTTCTGTCTCCTGTCGTGTTGTTAATCCACAATTTATTTGAAAAATATGACATTGCCTAAACTGCTGGGTAGATTTTGATAAAATCTCTCTGGAATAATCAATGGGTTGTTTTCTGGTATTTTGAAGGTAACAATTGAACATGGATTTAAATACAAAGTCACAGTATGTTTTAATAAGTCACAGAAGCTAAACATGGATTTAAGAAATGAAATATATAAAATTTTAATTTTTTTCGTCACAGACTATAAGATGAGGAGCTTTTATACAAATTTATTGCTTCTGTTGCGTTGTTTGGTTTCCTATCTACAAAAAGTTCAGTATATGTGCCTTGCGGTCAATATTGACACAACTGAACGCAGTCCATTGTCTGTCATCTTGAAATTGTTGGTAAATTTTTGCCAAACTTAACAGGAATGGTATTTTACTTTACTGATTTTGTAAAAAAACAATAAATAAATAAAAACATGAGCTCTGCTGAGGTCAAAAAGCCTAAAATATATAATTTTAAACTAAACATTGACCAAGTGAAGCACTTAAAATTGAAAAATCTGCAAAGGTACATGTAATAATGAAATATGCTCATAATTAAAAATAATGAAAAGTGATTTTTGTGCTGTTAGTGACAAATGTTGCAACACTTTCATTTTTGGGTTATTTTACACAATAAAACTGATTACTTTTGAAAATCGGAGTGAGGGAATAATCACAAGTTATTAGTATAGGCTTTTATCAAATGATACCCACATTTCGGAAAAATATTCTCAGTCCTGTCATGTCAAAGAAGATGCATTTTGTTGTTTCAGGAAGTTGATTGTGATTTGATAACTGGGGAGACGAGAAGTTTTGCCAATGAGGATGGGTCAGCGTCTGATCATGTAGCTTGCACTGTTGAAATGACAAGTCTTACCCAGGAATGTAAGTTTGTTTAAATAATTGTTAACCTGCTGAATGTGTATGCAGGGTTTTCTGAGTCGACTAGAGGCCAAAATTGCCAGAATGCAATTTGAGCTGCCTAAAAACTTAGAAGACATTCTCAGACCAAAACAGACCATCTCATAAAGGTTACTTTAGAATTAAAAGTTATTGTAGAATAAAGATTTCTGTAGAATATAGGTTACTTTTGAATAAAGGTTGCAAGAAGTTATTTAAGGATGAAGGTTAGATTAAAGGTAACTGTTGAAAAAAGGTCAGAAAAAAGGTTACTGTACTAAGAGTAAAAGTTACTATAGAATAAAGGTCAGAATAAATGTTGCTACAGAATTAAGGTTACAATAGTCTAGATAAAGGTTGCTGTAGAATTAAGGTAACTGTTTTATATACAACAGATGATGTAGCAGTTATAGATGAAATACAAATGATTGGAGATCTACAGAGAGGATGGTCATGGACGCGAGCATTGCTTGGTATTGCTGCCAAGGAAGTGCATGTGTGCGGTGAAGAAACAGCTATAAATCTTGTGAAAAATTTACTGTATACTACTCATGATTCTTTTGAGGTAAAACTTCCATTATAACCATTGACTTTTTATACGCCCGTTTGAAAAACGGGACGTATTATGGGAACGCCCCTGGCGGGCGGGCGGCGTCCAATTTTGTCCGGAGCATATCTCCTACATGTATGGAGGGATTTTAATGAAACTTCATAGAAATGTTCACCACTATGAGGAGCAGTGTCGCGCACATGAACCAGGTCTCTAGGTCAAAGGTCAAGGTCACACTTAGAGCTCATTGAAAAATGCTTGTCCGGAGCAAAACTTCCACATGTATAGAGGGATTTCAATATTACTTGGCACAAATGTTCACCATTGTGAGGCGGAGTGTCGCGCGCAAGATTCAGGTCCTTGCGGCCAAGGTCAAGGTCACACATAGAGGTCAAAGTTCAGATAAAAATATGAAGATGTGTATATGGACCATTTAGTCATCATTTATGGAGGGATTGTAACACAAATGGTCATTATCAAGACTATGGCTGTGATAGATATAATTTAGGTCAATATATACAAGGTCAAGGTCACTAAAGATGATGAAATATCCAGATTTTGTCCGGAGCATATCTCCTACACGCATGGAGGGATTTTAATGAAATTTCATAGAAATGTTCACCATTATCAGAAGCCATGTCACGCACATGAACTAGGTCTCTAGGTCAAAGGTCAAGGTCACACTTAGAGCTCATTGAAAAACGCTTGTCCGGAGCAAAACTTCCACATGCATAGAGGGATTTCAATATAACTTGGCACAAATGTTCACCATTGTGAGGCGGAGTGTCGCGCACAAAATTCAGGTCCCTGCAGCCAAGGTCAAGGTCACACATAGAGGTCAAAGTTTAGATAAAAATATGAAGATGTGTATAGGGACGATTTAATCATCATTTATTGAGGGATTGTAACACAAATGGTCATTATCATGACTACGGCTGTAACACATGTACAAGATATTCATTTTACATTACAAAAGAGGCTGCATGTAAAGCAATTATCAGTACTATCAAATATCAAATTTTAGAATAATAAATTAATCAAATATAAAAATTGTATTAACGTTTTAATGCAGGTATGGCATTATATACTATAGGGACATTTACATTGTATAATAATTTATGTATACTAACATCTTTATAAAGTAAATGTTTAAACATGGCTGTTAAATTTTCTTATTCTTTTAAACTTTCTAATTCTGTTATGGTTAACATGCCGATGTTTCCCATTTAAAATGGCATGGCTTGTTGTAAAATAAATATAAAAATCAGTGGTAACTGGAATTTAAGAAATTCAGGTGGTTAAATATGATATACATGAACATATATGTCTATTTACAGGTACGAGAGTATAAGAGGTTGACAAGTTTAACATACCTGGATGCTGCTGTTGGTAAGTAGTGGCTGACACAGAGCTCTTTACCTCATTTTATTTCAAGTTTCATTTTCTTGTTCTACAAAGCAATGTTTATTAAATAAAATAATTTTATGACAATACATTAAGTACTTTCGTAATGTGTCCCTGGCTGAGTACTTCAGAGTTCTTAGACCTCAAAACCACTTACCACTCACAGCTGTTGATAAGAATCCTACAAGGGACATTAAATTGTTCATGCCTGGAAGCTACGCAGCTAGATTACCTAATGTTGATTACGTAATGGTGGTGGTTCTTATGCTTCTGCCAGAAATAATGCAGGATGAGGCACCTGGGGTCTTACACTGCCAGTAAGGCTGGAAAGTCACCATGAATATGACCATTAAAGTATCAATGTGAAAAATCAACAGTCATAATGCTAAACTTCTGTATTTATTTGATGATCAGGATATTGTAATCTGTATAGTTTATAAATGTTTTTTTATGTAATTTACAGCCCTTTGTTTTTCTTTTCAAAGTCTGACAAGTGAGATATTTTTAAACTTCATTACAAAAATGATGCTACATTTAACATATCTGCTGTTTGGTACATTTTACTGTTGAATCATATATAGAGGATATCTAATGAGAGTAGGTTTAATACTAAATTTATTAAAATCATATTATGCCAGCCTCTGGCGAGCATAATATTGTTTTATACATATACAACAAGTTCAATAAATTTAGTATTTAATCTACAGGAATATAATATTCTATTTATCCCATATAAAAGATAAGAACGGTAAACTGTTAAAAGAGTCATTTTCATGGACACGTCAATAGTGTAATGCTAACATTAGCGTGCTTCAACGCTATGTTTAGTACATCTGCGCAAATGACGTCACATCAAAGTGTTATTACACTAGTGTAATATCGTTTTTAGCTCACCTGTCACAAAGTGACATGGTGAGCTTTTGTGATCGCTTTTCGTCCGGCGTCCGTCCGTCCGTCCGTCCGTAAACTTTTACTTTAAATGATATCTCCTCATAAACCACTAAGCCAATTTCATCCAAACTTCACAGGAATGTTCCTTTGGTGGTCACCTTTAAAAATTGTTCAAAGAATTTAATTCCATGCAAAACTCTGGTTGCCATGGCAACCAAAAGAAAAAACTTTAAATATCTTCTTTTAAATATCTTCTTTTAAAAAACCATAAGAGCTAGAGCTTAGATATTTGGCATGAAACATCTTCTAGTGAGTGTCTACCAAGTTTGTTCAAATAAAAGCCCTGGGGTCAAAATTGGCCCCGCCCCGGGGGGTCATTGATTTTCCCTATATGCATATAGTAAAAACTTAAAAAATCTTCGCTTAAAGAACCCAAAGAGCTAGAGCTAAGATATTTAGCATGAAACATGTTCTAATGGGTGTCTACCAAGTTTGTTCAAATAAAAGCCCTGGGGTGAAAATTGGCCCCGCCCCGGGGGTCATTGATTTTCCCTATATGCATATAGTAAAAATTTAAAAAATCTTCTTTTAAAGAACTCAAAGAGCTAGAGCTTAGATATTTGGCATGAAACATCTTCTAGTGAGTGTCTACCAAGTTTGTTCAAATAAAAGCCCTGGGGTCAAAATTGGCCCGCCCCGGGGGTCATTGATTTTCCCTATATGCATATAGTAAAAACTTAAAAAGTCTTCTTTTAAAGAACCCAAAGAGCTAGAGCTAAGATATTTAGCATGAAACATGTTCTAATGGGTGTCTACCAAGTTTGTTCAAATAAAAGCCCTTGGGTGAAAATTGGCCCCGCCCCGGGGGTCATTGATTTTCCCTATATGCATATAATAAAAACTTAAAAATCTTCTTTTAAAGAACTCAAAGAGCTAGAGCTTAGATATTTGGCATGAAACATCTTCTAGTGTGTGTCTACCAAGTTTGTTCAAATAAAAGCCCTGGGGTCAAAATTGGCCCCGCCCGGGGGGTCATTGATTTTCCCTATATGCATATAGTAAAAACTTAAAAAATCTTCTTTTAAAGAACCCAAAGAGCTAGAGCTAAGATATTTAGCATGAAACATGTTCTAATGGGTGTCTACCAAGTTTGTTCAAATAAAAGCCCTGGGGTGAAAATTGGCCCCGCCCCGGGGGGTCATTGATTTTCCCTATATGCATATAGTAAAAACTTAAAAAATCTTCTTTTAAAGAACTCAAAGAGCTATGGCTAAGATATTGAGCATCAAACATGTTCTAATAGGTGTCTACCAAGTTTGTTCAAATACAAGCCCAGGGGTCAAAATTGGCCCCGCCCCGGGGGTCATTGATTTTCTTTATATGTGTTTAGCAAAAACTTTAAATCTTCTTTGAAAAAACCCAAATAGCTAGAGTTTAGATATTAAGCATGAAACATCTTCTAGTAAGTGCCTACAAAGTTTGTTCAAATAAAAGCCCTGGGGTCAAAACTGGCCCGGCCCCAGGGGTGTCATTGTTTTTAACTATATGTGTAAAGTAAAAACTTAAAAAAAATCTTCTTTTAAAAAGCCCAATGAGCTAGAGCTTAAATGTTTAGCATGAAACATCTTCTTATGGGTGTCTACCAAGTTTGTGCAAATAAAAGCCCTTGGGTTAAATTGGCTCTGCAACATTGGGGGGGGGGTGGGGGGGGGCCTATATACAGGTGAGCGACCTCAGGGCCATCATGGCCCTCTTGTTATTAAATGGCTTTATTTCTCTCCTGTGCCGCGGTTTATGTGATAAATCTATTTTCTGGATTATGTCTTTCTATTTTTGAAACCTCCCCTTCCATAAAACAGGCATGGATTTTGACTTAATTGACGTTTTGTAACCTGATTATTATATTATTTTTTTGGTATATTTCAGGCAACTTCGACAATATCAAGAAAGGAGACTGTATTGTATGTTTTTCTAAGAAAGATATTTTCAGAATATCTAATATACTTAGTGCCAAGGGATATAATGTTGCACTCATATATGGAGATTTACCACCAGGTAAGAAAACAACATGAACACTTTCTGAAACATTTAAAGTGGATTGGTTTACTATTGGCACATTTGTCATAAGTGTTTCAAATATAAATAAAAGCAAAAAAGAAATGTATGATTTTGGATTTTTCTTATGAAATATTTTAATTTCTGGAAAACAAAATGTTGATAGAATTCTAAAGTAATTTAGTATGAGCATAATATACATGTATATGATGAATAATAATGCTTTATTCTAGAACACTTTATTTTCTGTCTGATATTTATATGTCATTTTGGATCATGTACCCGACACTTACCAACAACATCCATATATATATATTTTTTTTCACGTATGACACTGAATACTATTCAAAATAATTATTTATTACAGTATATTACAGATCTGCTATTAAAGACCAATTCACTTTAATATTTGACTATGATCACAAGATACAATGATTTATCTATACAACAAGTAAAATGCCAGGCATGCTTGTATATCCTTACAATCTAAGAAGACTCGAAACTGTTGAATGTTAGGCCTTGTTAGGACAATTGTCATGTTAAGATTCCTCCAAATAAGGAATCAACCGAGGCATGTCGGTAGTTCTACTCTAGTTTCCACTTGATCCTTAACCAGTGAAGTGGAAATGTAGCCATTTTACTGTGATAGTGTTGTTATCACTAAATTTTACATATGTTATAAATAAAAAAAGAGTGCTGTTGGCTTTGAATTTCGGTGTGTTAATATTACAATTCTTTGAATTGACAGTGAAGTTGTGTTCCTTATTTAAAAAACAGGAAATCTATTGCACAAAATTAGTAGCTATAATGTTTAGTATATAAAAGATTATGCTACAGCTTGGAAAAGAATTTTAAACTTTGTCCCGGTATAATGTATTTAGCACATGATACAGATAAAATGGAGACCTTAAAGTATGCCTTAAGTTAAATGTCAGACTTGAAGATGTTCAATTTTAATACTAAACAAATTTAAGCTTTAATGTTATTTTCACACAAGTTTGGTCACAGTAGAGTAAAGACTTTTCTCCATCATGATTGTATCATCTTATTTTCTTTTCAAAGGTACAAAAATAGTACAGTCAAGAAAATTTAATGACCCAAATGACCCCACTGATGTGCTTGTAGCAACAGATGCTGTTGGAATGGGATTGAACCTGTAAGCAGTTTTGTTAGCTCAACTTTTATATTTATACGATACATAGAGCTGTTCTACACACTTGGATACCTGTGTTGTCATATATATGTAACACTTTTGGTTAGGTTTTTCAAACCAACCCACTTTTTCAAACTCTTAGAGGTATTGCTTTGCAACTTAGAATTGTTGTGTATGATCATCTTTTTAAGAATGAGAATTTTTTTCAAATTATGCCCCTTATTCTACTTAGAATTTCAGTTTTCAGTTTAGTTATTATGTACCACCCCACTTGTGACTTCTTTCCTACACCCTTTGAGGTAAAAACTTTTGAAGTTTGGAATACTTAAATAATATCATTATGCTAAGTTACACATTATCTTCACTTTAAGACAAGAGGACTTAATTTGGGACAAGAATTTTGACAAAATTATGCCCCTTTTACAAGGTAGAATTTGGGTTAATTTTTTTGTACCACCCACTAGTATCTTACACCTATGGATATATTGCTTGAACTTATGATTATTTGAAAGTGACCACAATATCCACTATCAGACGATGGGATTTAACTATATTCAGAATTTTGACAAAATTATGTACATTTATTTGTAACTTCCCTTTGTTTTCTTTACCCATGGAGTAAAAACTTATTCTTGCCCTCATCCCCCCCCCCCCTCTCCGCAATAAGATAATAATATAATATGTTTTTTTCCTTAGCGCTTTTTTATTACCAACATTATTAATGTTCCACTTCAACATAAATATTCAGTAGACTTATCTTTTTCCCACTCCCAAATTTAGCTTGTAAAGACATTTTCATATTACACTATCAAGTAGAACATTTCATGACCAGTTCACATTTCAATATTATTTCCTAATAGTACATTAATAGTCTAGCTTGTTGTCTTACTGACAGTTCTTGTTTATTTTTTTGCTCAACTAAGCACAGTGCTATAGATGTGACATTTCCTGAGTACAGTGCTCCAGATGTGACATTTCCTGAGTACAGTGCTCTAGATGTGACATTTCCTGAGTACAGTGCTCATAGCCTGATAGGTGACATTTTGAAATGTCATGTTGTCTGTCATTATCGACAGTTTAATCTTCAATGTAACAACATCTACTGGACCACATGACATTTATGTTGAAATTACTTTATAGGTGTTTTTAGGACCCTTACAAAAGTTACACAAATAGCTCTAGTTTGATGCATAAGTAGGTCACAAGACAAAAAGCATGTCTTTGAGATATCTTTTAAGATTTTCCTCCAAAGAAACTACTGCATCTAGTGTTTAGATATTTGGTGTGTAGCTGATATTTAGTATCATTCATGACAGCAATCTAGGAAAGAATTGTTTATATATGTATCTTGTTGGACTATTGAATTTGTTTTAGCTATAGACCCTCAAATTTGTACCTAACACACTATTTTATGTACATAATATTGAGCTTGCACATTTAAAAATGATTGAAAGTGAGCTACTTTGAAATTTCTTATCTTTCATCTTCTAATTTGGTTTACTTGTACACTGTTGTCTACCCTTTAGTGTGTGGTATCAATGTAGTATTGCATATCTTGTGTTTACATTTTGAATTTCCTTTTCTTTACAGTTCCATTAAACGGATAATATTTTATTCATTGATGAAATTTTCATTACAAGAAGATGATAGACACAAACAGGGCTATCTGTCTACATCACAAGCTCAGCAGATTGGTGGAAGAGCGGGGAGATTTAGGACACAATTTGAGGACGGGGAGGTGACCACTTTCTGGCCCAAGGACGTTAAAGTCCTGAAAAATATAGTGAATACAGAGAAGACCCCACTGGAAGTGAGTTTGAAACATGTATCATTGTTACCAAAAATAGAAGAATTTATGTTCCGATTGATATACTCACAGTCTTAATTATTAGTTTACCTGAGCACTTTAATTTTCAGTTGTGAACATTTGTGATGGCAATTTTTTAGAATCATAGTGAAAGATTGCTAAGACAATATACTTGCCTAATTCTTAGCACAATATATATCGTCCAAAGGGTGTTTGAACAAGGGATATACTAGTAGGGATACAAGTTGCTGACGGGATATATGGGAGAATATAGCTTAATTTAGATCAATTATACAATATGACCCAAGAATATAGTCCAGGTTTTTATATATCAGTCATACTGTATTTACCTGTTTATGTGACATTATTACAAATTCATACTAATGCAAATTCTAATTATGAATAGTGTATCAAAAAACAATATAATTCTATAAAAAGCATAATATTTTCTATGGATTCAACATGCTCCTTATTATTTATGCACTTACGTTAATTAAGGTATTTCGCAAAGTAAACAAAGAGTGATTGGAAAGTTGGTGGTTGTACTCAGGTTCCTGTTTGTGCTTGAAATAATGCACGGAGATGCACATGAGGTCTTCCTCCACTAGGATAGCTGGAAAGTCACTATAAGACCTATACTGTGTTAGTGCGAAGTTAAATTTCAAAATTCAAGAAATTTTGCATAATTATAAATATATAATGTAAGGAAGTCTGTAACTGAATTGTGGGAAGTTATGAAATAGAATTGTAAAACAATTCCATTATGTAACTTATGATTGATGTGGTTTAATCAAGATTTATATTTTGTGATATTTTCAGAAAGCTGGTATGCATCCGACTACAGAGATGATAGAGATGTTTTCATATCATCTTCCGAAAGCTACACTCTCAAATCTTTTAGTAAGTACTTTATGCCTTGAATAGATATTTAAACAAATACTGTTTATTTTAAAGTTTGATATTTGAACTTATTTGTTTTATGGCTGAATAAATAATATAATGCATATTTTTCACATAAGAAACAATCATTTGAAAGTGAAGGAAATGGACTTGCATAGGATTTAAATAATTTGATCTATCATCTTCCATCATTATCAACATTTATTATGTTTACTGGATTTTATCCATTGGTGGGCCAAAAATCACATACATTATATTGTACATGTAGTTCATGACCCTTAAACTGCTGAAACTGAAAATGATCAGCATTTGCCACGAGTATAGGCCCAGGCCAGTCTGCATGCTGTACAGGCTCAGGTCAGACAGTATTTTGAAAAATGGAATTAATTTGGTCGATATAAATTATGTTTGGCTGTCAATGCATGTTTTCACATCTGCTGATCAAATTTGCTCCCCTTGGTGGAAATTGTTTTGTTTCTGTATGTAGATGTAGAAAAGCAGTTAGAATGAGACCTGTGGATGAGTAAAGCATTTTAACTTAACAGAAACAAAATTAACATGATGAATATTTCAATCAACATTATCCTATTTCAAAATATTTCTAGTAATTTCATTGATAATATTCAAAATATCACTATAGTAACCATAAAATATAGAGAAATATGGTTCACACTTCCTGCTCTTCTAAAGAAGGAATATAAAAACAAAGACTGCAAATTATGATTATACATGTACCTTCAAAGGGCTCCAATACCCACGCGTGAATACTCTAATGAATAATGTGAATAAGTATCTATAAGACTAATCAGTAAGTTGGGGGTGGGGGGGGGACCAACTAGAAAATTATTATTGTTTGTTGGTTTATATGGAATCTATTAGTGTTCCTGGAATCAACCAGTACTGAGCAATGAGTTTGTTGCTCAAGAAAACAAGAACTTGCCCTTGAAGGAGTTTGAAACCATGCAGCTAGCGATCATTATGATGTGTTAACCGCTCGGCCATGTTGTTGCTGTGAATATATCACAAGCATCTGTAAAAATTGGCTGTGTTAGAAAGATTATTTTTCCCCAAATAATGACAGTTGATCCAGGCCAAAATAAAATTCACCCAAGTATGTGGTTTTATCCAGCAAGTGGTCTGAATCCAGTAATTTAAATTTAATGTTACTGAAAAAAAAATCGGGACATTTTTACCATTGCATAAAAGTATGTACACATCTGACTTAAATATCTTGCTTTTAATTAAGGGTTTCCATTGCTGTTGTCACATGATGTGTTCACCTTTTGATTTTAATATTTCAGGACATTTTTGTACACGTGTGTAAACTGGACGACATATACTTTATGTGTAACTTGAAGCAGTTTAAAGAACTAGGGGAGATAATACAGCATGTTCCACTTCCTCTCCGTACAAGATGTACATTATGTTCATCACCTTTAAAGATTAAAAAAGGCATGGCTCAGGTCATGTTTGTAAAGGTATGTGACAAATAAGTGTTCTTCAGTAATAGAATTATTGTCTCGGAAGACTTTTATGTGGATGAACATGAAAGCAGTATTTTAAAATCAAAAACAGAGATTATGAATAAATATAATTTATTATGTTAAAACATTTTTTTTCTTCTGAATAAAATTAAAATAATCCTTGTAATATCCATAACTTGCCTTATCCTAGTCCCAGTATTTGTGTCTTAATAGACAAGTTATACTGTATATTATAATTGAATTTTTCTTCAATTACTGTGTCCAGTATTATATTTTTCGAGCATGCTGACTCCTCTGACAGCTCTTGTTTTTTTGACATTATAATCTATATTCCTTGAACAAATTGTTCAAAATTCAAATTTGGGCAGTACATTACATAAATTCAGTAAGTAAAGGGTCATTTGTTTACAAGGTAAGGATGGACCATTTATATAGTTTGTTATATAGTTGTATTATTTTGTAGATTGCCACTGAAATGAGCAAAGGGGTTCCGATGACATATGACTGGCTGTGTAGGATGCTGGGGGCCCCGTTCGTCATTCCCCGATCCATGGCTCAGTTAGAACAATTAGAGGGAGCATTTGATGTTGTTGACATCTATTTGTGGCTGAGGTAATTACTTAAAATGTCAGATTATAGCCAAACAAGCAGGAGAATGTTTTGTCATACTTATAAAGTGTTATACCTTTGGACATGTTAATTATGCCCCCGCCATATAATGGCTGGGGCATATAGTGTTACCCTGTTCTGTTATTCCGTCATTCTGTCATTCCGTCATCATCAGTTTCAGTTCATTATCTTAGTAACGGTTGCACACATTCAACTCAAATTTGGCATATGGATATGTCATGAGAAAATACAGGTCAAGTTCGAATTTGGTCATGGTTCAATGATTTTTTGCAGAGTTATGCCCCTTTTACTTTGAAAATAATATGAAATTTTCAGTTTCCGTTCATTATACCCCAAACTATATTACACATTCAACATAAACTTGAGATATGGATATGTCATGAGAAAATACAGGTAAAGTTTGAATTTGGTCATGGTTTGATGATTTTTGGCAAAGTTATGCCCCTTTTGCTTTGAAAATAATATGAAATTTTCAGTTTCCGTTAATTATCTCCCCAACAGTATTACACATTCAACTCAAATTTAACATATGGATATGTTAAAAGAATGCGCAGGCCAGGTTTGAATTTGGTCATGATTCAATAATTTTCGGCAGAGTTAACTCCTTTAACTTTGAAAAAAAAAGGAAATTTTCAGTTCACATTTTTTATCTCCCCAACAGTTGTACATATTCAACTCAAATTAAAGATATGAATATGTCATAAGAATGCATTGGTCAATTTCAAATTTGGTAATGGTTTGATGATAGCTGACAGAGTTATCCCTCTTGAACTTTGGAAAAAAAAATCAGAAATTTTAAGTGTCATTCATTATCTTCCCAATGGTACACATTCAACTCAAATTTGACATATAGATACATCTTAAGAATAAGCAGTTCAAGTTTGATATTGATCATTGTTCAATGGTTTTGGACAAAGTTATCTTTCTTAAATGTTGGAAAAATTTTGAATTTTCAGTTTCAGCACTCGTCCTTTTGTGGAAATGTATGTAGCCGTTATTTTGGCTACAAAATTAATATGAAATATGCAATTTACGAAAGGTTAACACTGAATAGTTTCAGTGCCTTGAACTTTGTATAAAAATGGTTTGTGTTAACATTGAATAGTTTTAAGGGCTATGAACTTAAAATGAAAAAATAATTTGTGCAAACAAATTTGGAACTAAATATTATAATATTTGAAATTTTGGTTGCATGTGGGGGCATCCGTTGCGTGACAACACATTTCTAGTTTTCATGAAAAGTTTAAAATTGTTTTTTAAAAAAAAGAATATTGTGAAGTGAACAAAGAAAGTTAGTTACACAGTGTAAACAGCACTTACATAACACTAAATTACCAAAAATGTAGTCAGAATTTGCAAAAATTCTCATTACTGCAGTAGTCATGCAGTGGAAATATTGTGATAAATACTGCACAATCAGTAATAAATACAGTATTTACTGTTTGCTTATGGTAATACATAGGACATTTAGGATCATTTTTAGGGCACTGTCTAAGACCTCTCTTAACTGTACATTGTTAATGATTTATACCACTTAGTTGAACTCCTGGTTAAGATTTTGCATGAAAAATAAATATGCAATAAATAAATGATTTTGCATGAAAAATAAATATGCAATAAATAAATGATGTTTTCTGTTACTATAGTTACAGATATCCGGACTTGTTTGTTGATGCTGACGAGGTTAGACAACTTCGAATGAAACTTGACTCTATTATTCAAACATATCTTAGCCAAGGAATGACAAAAGGTAAATCGTCTCTTGTTCATGAACTTTATGACAAAACAGCCGCTGTCCCGCCAGACGACAAACTTTTAGAACAGAGTCCACTGCAAGCATACACCCCTAAGCCAAAGCCTAAGAGAGATGATGACAAGCACAGAGTATTTGCTAATGCTTACAAAGAATTGGAAAGAATCGAACAAAGTGATTACGAGTTTACTGATTTAAGTGATCCTTTACCATTTAAAGATAATTATACAGATACAAAACATTCAGAAAAACAGAAGGATATGGATGAATTAACTAAAGATTTGAATTTAAAAGACAAATCTGAAGAAAAACGACATAATTTGTGGCAATTTGATGAGGTCCAGGAAGCAAAAACTGTGAAAAAGGAGGATAAACTGAAAAGTCTATTTTCTGGGAAAAGTAAACAGTATAATGCAATCGCTGGTACTTACGCATCAAATATATTTTCTAGTGACAATGATGGTAATATTGAAAGGAACCAAGAACCACCAAATGTTTCAGAAAATACAGAAACTGATACAGTGAATGAATATGAAGCATATGTAGGAATGGACGATGAAGAGTTAGAGGCTTTAAAGAAGATACTGACAATATCAAAAGAGATAAAAAAGCATAAGATGGAGCACCAGAGTCCAGTAATGGACCAAGGAGAAGTACGTGTATTTGGAAGTATGATAAGTTCTGATAAAGAGATACCCAAGCTCGATACTTTGGTGCATATTTTACCAAAGAAAATAAAAAAGAAACAAAAGGTCAAAGAAAAATATTTCAGATCTTTACTTAAAAAAGATACACTTGATTCTCCTGGAGAAGAAACATCTGGAAATGTACAGGATTTGGACAATGTAAATACACAAACTGACATAGAAGCTGACTCTGCATTAAAAGATAAGGAAAGTGTTGAACAAAAACTCCTTAAAAAAGGTGTTTCTGCAGAGATGCTAGAAAAGTTGAAGAAAGAATGGCAAAAATCGACAATGAAAGATGAAAATAGTAATGACAAGATTAAAGATGTTGAAAACAAATGATTATAATCATGATTATATATAAGTTTGATTCAGTGATGGTCTAGATGGGCCGTCAAAGTCCATAGTCCTTTACCCAGTTAAGGTTAGTTACATGCTCATTACCGCACGTTGCATTTTCTTATGTTGAGCAGTTAGCAGTAATGAAGAGGATATTTTGATGGGTCACATTCTTGATATGTTTTAAGCTTATAAAAGAGTTTGCCAATAAGCCAATAGTCTGTCAGATGACTGAAGAGATATGTCTAATGGCAAGGGGCATAGTTATCATTGGTTGCTTGTTGTATGAAATTCTTCTAAAATGAATTCAAGATGCTTGTAACAATTATATAAGAGTTTTATTGCTATTTTAACATCACCATCATATTTTTTATGTCAACAATTCTGTGATAAAACAGTTTCATGATGTGATTAAATAGTTGAACATGATTGTTTCTTGTATTATATATGAAATGATAAAAAATAACAGGTTATTAATCCCCTGCCGCTTAACAGGGGTATTTTGGTATGGAATGGGCCCTCTGTCCATCTGTAACACTTTGGTGCTGCTACATAACATAACCTTGCATAAATGGTCGACATTTTCTGTCCATGTGAAGAGCGCAACATCTAGCTCATTACCCCAAGATCAGTTTCACTGTTGTCGAAGTCAATTTAAAAAAAAGTCGGCACTTCGTGTCTGCTCTGTAAGTTGTAACAAATGAAATAATTTTGTACAAATAATGCCCATTATAAGACGATATGCATAGCACAACAACCAGGTCGCTAGGTGCCAGCCGGCTTAACTCAATCGGTTAGAGCGCGAGACTTACATTTTGGGTTCCATTCCCGGGCTGGCCAACTAAAATTACTAATCGGTCTTTCGGATGAAACTTTAAATCGTGGTCCCATGTCTGAGTGCTTAAACACTTGGCAGCTAAAGAACAAGGGGAAGTATCTGGAATTGGGGCATCTTTCTGTATCTTACACCATCCTCAAAAAATATGAGTAATACTCTTCTGGAGGACTCGGAGTCGCCCATAAAGGCAACCGGTGGCGAGTATAAATAAACACACACACACACACCAGGCCGCTATCATCAAGGGTAAGGTTCCTCTGAAAGGTAAAATGTAAAAAAGTTTTTATTTTGTGTACCCTTCATATTTTTTAAACTTGGGAAAAGTTTTTACCTTTGCACAAAATTAATGATCATTATTAAACGATATGCAGTTCCAAAGCTCGTTTACCCAAGAAAGTCCAACATTTTGTTTCCGCCCCAGAAACTTCAAACTGCAAAATAGTTTTAAACTCACTTTGAACAGATGATCACCATTATGGGATGATGCGCAGAGCTACCCATAAGTTACCCATAACCTGCCAATGTGACTGAAATTTCTCTTCAGCTAGAACTTTGGTAATAGAAATATTGAAGTAAACATTTCATATGTTACACAATAACATTCAAAGTGGCGCCTTGACTGCGGAAATTTATACATTTCTTATAGAATTTTTTTAAAGATTTGTCTTACTCATCTGGACCCAAAATTAATATTTCAAAATGTCTCCACAGTTTTTATATACATGTACATCATGTTTAAAGCTATAACTGTGGGATATAGCTGCGCCACTCGTGAACTATACCTTTTGGTGCTCACTCGGTGAAATATATTTCGATCTTGCACTAAACTAAACAAATTTTCTTTTTATTACATGCAAAGAAACGTTTAAAAAGACATTTTAACATAGTACTAAATGAACAGGGCGCCAAATAATAATACAACGTGACGTCATTTACGACGTCACGTCATTAAGTTGGTTTCCAGTATTGTGAACGCTTGTATTTCACTGAAACAACGTACCGGGCTCAAATATTCAAAACAGTGAAATTATCAAATTGATAATTTCACTGTTTAAAACAGTGTCACTGATATATTTCTATAAACCACCGAAAAGCATGTAATAAATAGAGGATATTTGTTTGTTTGTGTGTAAGATGAAATTTTATTTCATCGAGTGGGCTTTAAAAACAGTATTCTCACGAGTGGCGTAGCACAATCTTACACAACAAACAGACAAATTTTCTTTTTATTTTATGCTTAAAAACAAGTTAAAACGAAATTTCCATAATTTTAACGTTAATATTAAAATCTGTTTCCCCCATTGAGAGCCCCATTTAGACGGAATTTCTCATTTAAAACAAGAAGTCTTGAGCTGAAAAAAAAAGTCCGCCAATCAAGGTTAAATGACGGTGATATTTGTTCATTTTATCAAAAAATATGAATGATCGCTTGTTTTAATAATAAAAAGAAACAAATCTTGTAGGAGAAAAAGTCTAACCATCCATCCATATTTGTGTTACTTACTGCGAATTTATATTAGACCTGGCTTTGTAAAATGTAAGCGGCAGCCATTTTTTAAAGTTGTGTATTTCATGGGAGGAAAATAATTGTGTAAGATTCAGAAGGATATGTTTTGGATTTGTTAGTCATACACCTTTTTAAAAGAAAGAAAACTTATTTGAGGATTGTAACAGACAAAAAATAACTGTTGACAGAAGTGAAAACATTCAGAAAAGGAGCTAGGAAATTGGAAAACTTGGAAGCTTGCAAAGGAACGCTGGGTATTTTTACTTATTTTACGAGTGATGGCTGTCAATGCTTTTCAATTTTTCATAAAGCATACGGCAGTTATTGCTCGTAGGATACTTTAATATGCCCAAATGTCATCAAGAGCAGTTTTGCATGGGGAAGGAATGTATTTTTCAGACTGTAAAAACGAAACAAAAAAAAAATTTAGAGACGAAATTTTGTGATTGGAATTTGAAGGAATAGAAGTAAGTTTTCTCTCTTTACTACTTTTGACATTTAAGTTATTTATCTATTTCAGCTTTGCTATTTCTTTAAATAGCCAGACATTGTCAGAATTGTCAGTAAAAATAAAATTGAGGTACTACATGGGGAAAATCTTAAAAAAGTAGTTTCGTGATTGAAAAAAGTGAAATTATATTTTGATAATTTTCACTGTGAAATTATCAAATATAATTTTCACGGATAAATCAGTAATCCACTGAAAAGCATAAAATAAATAAAAATATTTCAAAAACTGTAAAATTACATTGTTTTTTTTTTCTGTTATTTTGATTAAATTCTTGAACGAAATTTGGCAAGAAATGTATCAATTATTTTCACACGGATTGAATGAGAAAACCGAATAAATAGAGGATATTTATTTAGTTCAGTGTAAGATCGGAGTATATTTCACCGAGTGAGCACCAAAAGGTATATTTCACGAGTGGCGCAGCCACGAGTGAAATATGAACTTTTGGTGTTCACAAGGTGAAATATATTTCGATCTTACACTAAACTAAACAAATTTTCTTTTTATTATATGCAAATAAACGTTTTAAAAGACATTAAACCTAATACTTAATGAAAAGCGCGCCAAATAATAATACAACGTGACGTCATTTACGACGTCACGTCATGAAGTTGGTACCCAGTACTGTGCACGCTGGTATTTCACTGAAACAACGTTAGGGGCTTAAATTCAAAACAGTGAAATTATCAAAGTGGTAATTTCACTGTTTCAAACAGTGAAATTACCAGTTTTATATCACTGATATATTTCTATAAACCACAGAAAAGCATGTAATAAAATGTTCTGCTCGGCGTTAATTAATAAGCCTTTAATTTGGTACATGTATGTTTAGTTAGAATTTTGTTGATGCGCCATACAATTGATAATTTGCAAACATTCTGTCTGCACGTTATAGCTAGTGGACTTGAAAATACAAAGTAAAATACAAAATCAGAGCTATTTACTGATCGTGGAATTTTTATGTACCTGCATAGAGACCATGTCCGTGTTTGTGTTCGAAAAAGTTAACATTGTCCGGTTCATAGTATCAGAATGATGAGATTTCAAAAACCATTTGTTCATATGACAATAATTAGAAGAAGATATTTCACGTGCAATCCTAGCTTAAAGGCCAAGTTCAAGAAGTATACGGACGTATTTCTTATATTGTCAGTTTGGGCTCCTGGGCGGCTCTTAATTGGAATTTTAAATTGATTTAGTTCACATAACCACCATAAGATGACGTGTCGCATGCAAAATGTTAATGTCATACTAAATGTATTTGTTTTCTTCAAATCCCTCCCGAGTCGTGCACGGCACGTCAATGTCTTGTTGACCACAGTACAACATGTACAAGGGGATGGTTGGTTGACCTGTTGTGACAAACTGATGTCCCTAAAAAGAACCGGTTTGTGAAAAAACATAACTTAAGTAAATTTTACTCAATTACCACATACTAAGATCAGGATTTAGGCAGAGCGGTATGCAAATACAGTACCGATGCGGCTACAGTAGCGGGCCAGCAATGACGATGTAGGTCGTCTTCATGTGGCTAATTCTGGCGCCGAGTATAAACTCAAGAATTTTTTGCTTCTTGTAAATGCAGTTGTAAAAGTTGTAACTTCTCTGGGATACCTTATGAGATAGAATGAAAAGGAGTTTTAGTATTGTTCCGGCTTGTCCCCACAACTTAATTAATAAGCTGGGATTTTGCCGTCAACCGTTACTGTTGTGACCCTTTGACCGCCTATCATTATACAGCACGGCTCATTTATCGAACTTCAAATTACGTCATCAAATGCAGAAACATTGAAACGTCCGTCATCTTGTGTATGCACATACACAGTACCCATAAAATACATGTATTTAAGTGAGCACATTGCCTATTAACACGGATTTTTTAATTAAAATCCGTGATATTAAGCAACGAATTAAATAAAAATCTGCTGAATGTGTCGATACAATTTATCAGATTTGCTAGACTGTAAACATACTTATCGCAAAAAAAAGCGAGTTGAAGCACAAAAACGAATTGGCCCGAGTGAAAAAGTGCAATGATACTAGAACTAATTTTCTACGAATTATTACAAACGATGTTTTAGGGGGTATACTGGAGTCAGCTGGTGGTTGGTCGGTCGGTCCGTTACAGATTTCTTGTCAGGGACATAACTCAGAATGTACAAAAGATATCATTTTCAAATTGTGCAGGCAGATAGATCTCATTGAATAGAAGTGCAGTGCAAAAGAACTGTAACTCTGCCTTGTCTAATTTTGGAGTTATTGCCTTTTGTTTATTTTTACACTGAAAATTTCACACTGATATAACTCTAAAACCACAACGGGTATTAACAAGAAACTTTGTAGATAGATAAACCTCATTTAGAAATAGAATTTGAAAAGTTTTAACAGCGCCACAACATACACCTCAAACAAACAGCACAGGACTCGCAAAGTTGGTTAAGTCCATAGAATGCCATACAAAATAAGTTTCATCATGAGTTCGAGCCTCACACGTTTTCTAATCTTTTTTTCTTTCCTTTTTTTCTTTTTTATTTTTACATTAGATGCAAATGAATCGGAATATAAAGGCAGTT